ATGATACTATAAACACCAGCACATATCAGTCTCTGGTGTTTATAGCTTCAGAGCAAACAAAACACATCATTCATAACAGAAACAGCTCGCAATAGCCACAGGAACGTTGCTGCAAGACAGGCATATGTAACGACGACTTAGCGCTCTTAAACGCGTGTGTCATTAAATACAGTCCTCCTGACAACAGGCCAGTGAAAAATCTAACAATCTACAGCAAAACCATCAATTATTATGGGCGTTATAACATACGTGTGCAGCTGGACGAAACATACACGTCGAACCCCCCCAGACGATTTAAATCCCTGACGAAACATACACGACGAACCACGGCAACGGGTTAATATATTATGTCCTCCACAGCGCAATGTGTCACAATATGTAGAAGGCTTCTGTCCCCCCCTCCCCCCATAACCTAATGTCATAGCTGTTCCTTTAACTTCCTACACAAAAGTCAATCTTTGTCTGCCTCCTCATTGTAAATTTTCACTGAAGGTTTAGGCACATATTAATTTTCACAACAATAGAACTTGTCAAATTAACAGATCACATGTAACAGTAAAATATTCCATTCATACTTCCCTTGACATCACTTATCAACTAAGTAAGTAAAAGTAAAGCTATCCCTGTAACAGGCCGTGGAGGCCCATAGGGTTGTGAGATGTTGAGGTTCCCACATTTTCTAGACAGTTGACTCATAGATGGCAGCAAGGCTGTCAGCCCTACATGCTGGCCACCCTTTACCCCCAAGAATATTCCTGGTACTCATTTCTGTTAGAGGCTGAGTCGACCCCAGGGCCATAGTGCAGCTGGAAGGATTACGTCAACTGAAAAAATCCAGTGACCTCATTGGGACTTGAACCCGCGACCTTCTGGCTTGTAGCATAGTGCCTCAACCAGCTACACTACTGTGTGCCTCCCACTCATCAGCTAATAAGATACTAAAATAATAATTTAGATATACTAAAATTTTGAGCTAGGTTTGACAAAACCAACACTTAGCCATATTTATAGTGAAACTGACACTGGTTTAATTTACTGATGACTATGTCAATATGTTTCAGATAGCGATCAGAGATTTGGCACTTTTGAATTATGAGTTATTAGTATTATTATTATTATTATTTTATTAGTAATTTTCAGTTAAATGTTTTATTGTATTAAAAGACATTGATAGAGCAATGATGGAGAGTGGAATTCTATTATGTAGGTGAGAAGGGGAAGAAGATTCTTATAATTTCTAAGATTGAGAACCATCAAGGTATGGTGAACCTAGATGAGATAATTGAAGCTTCAGATGGTATTATGGTGGCTCGTGGTGATCTAGGTATTGAGATTCCTCCTGAGAAAGTGTTTCTGGCACAGAAGGCAATGATTGCACGGTGTAACAAGGTAAGATAAACTCTATAAAGTACAAAATTTATTATTTTGCCTGTGAGAAGTTATTGGTAGTGAATTATATATTTATGTATTGTGTTCTTCTCTGCATTAGTAATAGTTTTGGCTTGTGTGAACCAGCAACACTTAATTCGAAAACATATCACTAGCACCCATTGAATGTGGCTGCCATATTTTTTCAATTCCATATTTGGATGTGAGTGGCTTGTAATATGTAACAGTCTTAATAGACAAGAAACGTACTTGTTGGATACATCTTTCAGCTTTCTACATTAAAAATTTATTCACAAAATCTGCCAAGAAATTTTTGAAGTTCTCACTTATGGAAAGTAAGATAGCAATTATAAACCTTGACCTTGAATGTTGATTTGAGATATGATCTTTATTAACATGGATCACTTCAGTTGCTTGTTGGCAAAGCATCATATGCCTGTAGTGAAGAAGATAATTTGTCACCTGAATATGTAGTATTAAAAGGCATAACTTTTACGGCAAAGTAATATTATTTAATTTTTCCTACATAGGTGGGAAAACCAGTTATCTGTGCTACGCAGATGCTGGAATCAATGGTCAAGAAACCACGCCCTACCCGAGCTGAGGGTTCAGATGTGGCAAATGCCATTCTAGATGGTGCTGACTGTGTAATGTTATCTGGAGAAACAGCTAAAGGTGACTACCCTCTTGAATGTGTGCTCACAATGGCTAACATCTGTAAAGAAGCAGAAGCAGCCATCTGGCAGAGACAATTGTTCCAGGAACTGAGTACCCAGGTGAGGCATCAAAATAATAAAATTTAAGTTTCTTCTTTTTTCCTTGTGATTGTTAATAATAATGATACTATACCATCCACATTACAAGCATTAACATTTCCATTCAACAGTATAAAATTGAAGAGTGTTGTTTTTTCTAGTTGCCCCTGAATTCTGTTAACAGGCATTGCCACCAATTGATGTAGCTCATACCATTGCAATTGCTTCAGTGGAAGCATCAGCTAAGTGCCTGGCTGCAGCAATTATTGTCATAACAACGTCTGGGCATTCAGCTCATCTTATTGCTAAATATCGACCAAGGTGTCCCATAATTGCCGTGACTCGTTATGCCCAAGTTGCTCGACAGTGCCATCTCTTCAGAGCCATCCTGCCTCTTCATTATACAGGTATTTATGAGTTGGCAAATGCGCCATTAGGACCTTTTTTGCACCAAAGCAGTGAGCAAACATAACATAACATTAAAGAGAATCCCCCTCACTCACAGCATAAGTTGGAAGAAGTATTACAGGAATTGTGTTGCACAAACTGCACTCATAAAATGAGAAATTTAAAATATCAATCTTTGTTCAGAAAACACATGAGGTTCTCTTCGTTTCATTTTCTTAAACAAGACGTTGATGGGAATAATTTACTCTGCTTGCTTCCTGAACATACCCATACTTAAGTTCATTTGGTAGGGATAGCACAAAACTATAAATTAATAATTATACGAGGGGGTACCCAAAAGAAACCGAACTTATTTTTTTAAACTTATTTATTCAAATTTTAAGCACAAACCTTCAATCCCCTTCAAAGTACTCTCCACTTACACTAATACACTTGTCTAGTCTTTTATTCCATTTTTCAAAACATTGTCTAAATTCATCTTTTGAGATGCTTGACAGTGCCTCCGTCATTTTTTCCTTCACCTCAGCAACATCAGCAAAATGTTTTCCTTTCATTTCTCGTTTCATTCGAGGAAACAAAATAAAAAAGTCAGTACTCTTCTTTCAAACACAGCATGCTTCCACTTGACCGTGTTTTTATTCAGCAGTCAGCAGTCGTGACACGAATTTCGCAGCCACCCTTTTCATTCCCAAATCTTCTGTCAAAATTCGCTGAACTGAGCTCCAAGTCACTCCTGACAGCTCCACAATTTCTTCAATGGTCTGTCGATCTTCCTTGATGATTTCACGAATTTTTTCGACATTTTCATGTGTTCGGGCCATGGAAGGACGACCAGAACGAGGTTTGTCATCAATTGACATTTCACCATTTTTGAAACGGGAAAACCACTCAAACACTTGAGTTTTCCCCATAGCATCGTCCTTGTATGCCGTTTTTAACATTACAAGAGTTTCTGTTCCACTTTTCCCGAGCAAAAAGCAGAATTTCACCGCCGCACGCTATTCACGAAAATCAGCCATTGCAAAAACGACGATCACACAAAACAGTTGTCACTATAAACTCTGCCGAAACTAGTCCTTACCTTCTGAAGCAACGGTAGTTGGCTTATCGACTCAGGAATGTTAGCTCTATGCTCTCATTGTGGCAAAACATGGTACTACAAAAGCTCTGCCCACAAAAAAATTAGTTCGGTTTCTTTTGGGTACCCCATCGTAGTCATTGATCCATTTTTGAACCTACTTGCTACTAGTACAGATTCCAGGTATGTTGATTTGAGTCTGCCATGATAACCAAAGAATTCTGGGCAGTTAGCCTGCTTGCTACATACAGACTTCTGGACCTAGAAATCTTCTTTTATTATGTTAAGAAATTCAAGTATATAATTCAGTAACAGTGCAATGTAGCCGATGGGTTGATATACTGAGTTTGTGAACAGATGATTATAGGACTGAATCCTGTGTGAGTACTATGTTATGTTGTTGCTTGCAATTTTACGTAGCATACAGATTATCATCTATTAGGAACAACTTATTATGTAGATACAGATTTTGATTACATTAAATTTGTTACATACAACTTTAAGCTATTTTACAATTCCAACATTTGTAATTGTTGACTTGTAGAGAGTATGTCAGTGTAATTTATGGGTAGTATCAGTTGGTGGCAAGTTTGCTTCCTATAGAGGGAAAAGGTCAAGGCAGTATTGTATGGTATCACCTAGCTCAGTAGTTTTGCCTAGTACACTGCTTATCTTGGGTAACATCACATTGACATATAATTCAACATCACATTGACATATAATTCAACTAACACCATACGTTTGTTTGCTATATCTTGCACACATCACTTGATCAAGGGAGCTTGGGTTCTTATACATATCAAGATAATGACATTCTAAATATCTCCCAACTCATTTGAGTTCAGATGCTTGTAAGAAAATTTGAATTTTTACTCAGTTTTAAATGTGTAGTGTAATTTTTGAACAGTCACAATTTTCTATGCCATAAATGAGATAAGTGTAGGTAAGCTATGTTGCCTTTTCATAGTGGTTACAGGTGGAAGATTTCTTACCTCAATTATATAAGGGGCAGTCAAATGAAAATGAGTCACCACACATAACTCACATGTTGCGCAAGTTGGTAACACTGGAATTTGCTTATGGTACGAACATCTGGTGGGGACTCGGGAAAGCACAGTGACGTGCCCTTGCACACTAGTTGTTTGTTTACTGTGCTGGAAGTAAGGTTAGCGCTACATGTGGTCATCTAACATCAGTAATGGCAGGTAAAGAAGAACAGTGAAGTGTAGTGTGCTTTTTGACTGCTGAAGGAGTAGGAGGACAAGAAATTCATCGTCGCATGTCTGTTGGTTACGGCGAACACAGCACGTCACGTTTGCATGTGCTGGCATGGGATAAGAGGTTCTGAGAGGGACGTGTGTCATTTCAAGATGATGCTCACCCAGTACAGGTGCATCGTGTCACTCCTGATGTTATTGCTGCATTAGATGGTCATCTGGGCAAACCGACAGACCACTGTGGAAGAAATTAGTATTTTGATGGGAATAAGTCATGGTTCCGTACACCTGCTGTGCTGCAAAATCTGCGCACAGTGGGTTCCACATCAACTCACGAAGGAACAAGACTCAGAGAATGGCTGTATCACTGGGTCACTTCCAACGATACCATGAGGAAGAGTATGCTTTTCTGTCCTGTATTGCCACTGGGGATGAAACTTGGTGCCACCATTTTGAACTTGAGAGCAAATGGCAGAGCCCACAGTGGAAACGCGTGAATTCTCCCCCACCGAAGAAATCCAAAGCCATACACACAAGTTCTGGTAAAGTGATGATGACGTTCTTTGACTGCAAGGGCCCTCTGCTTGTCAAATTTCTCGAGCATGGGGTCATAATCAGTGCACAGTGCTGTGAAGACACTTTGCAGAAACTGAGATGTCATAAAGTCAAAACACCCTGGAATGCTATCGAACGGCATTATCCTTCATGGTAATGCGCACCCCCACACTACCAAATCTGTGAGGAATATGCTACAGAGATTTGGTTGGGAAGTGCTTCAGCATCCCCCCCCCCCTACAGCCCAGGTCTCTCCTCGTGTAATTTTCACATTTTTGGAGACCTGAAGAGAGACATTCATGAATATCTGTTTGCATCAGACGAAGACGTGTGTGGGTAAAGATGTGGTTCTGTAGACAGCCCACAAGCTTTGCAAGGATGGGATTGACCATCTTATCTCCCAGTGGGATAAATGTATTAACAGTTTTGGAGATTACTTTTAAGGTAAGAAATGTTTTGGCTTCTGACCTCTTTTCATTTGACTTCCCCTCATAATTACTATAATAGACTGCAATCTGACTAATAGAGAAATGAGTGAGTATTTTTAGGCTGTATTACTGGTGCCAGTATTCAGTTAGCAAATGAAATATGGTATTTAATAATTGCACAAGAAGTGTACTTTTAAATACAGCCATCAGTTTAATATATGTTATATTGGACTTAGCTATTAACCCAGTTGGTTTTGAAATGTGCTGATGTGATCTAATTGTTACAAGAGACAAAGCATGGCCACAAGCAGATAAAGATAAAACTGTAGAGCAGGTTGGTTTGAATGCAGCAACAATAAATTGAATACTGTTGGAGGATTGTTTGTATGATATTGTGACTCAGAGGACAGAAGTGTGGCTAAGTTCTCCAGTCCAGTAAAGTAGTAAACAGAGGGGTTCATTGTTGTACTTTGAGTTATAATATCATATGAATATTTCATTGGAATAGTACTCGGTTTATGATCATTGGATTCATATTAATCTGTTCTACAATCTTTGAGGGAGTGAAAAAATCGAGTTGATGTAAGAAAGTGAAGCTGACCTTGATATCCAATAAAATTGTAAGATACAAATAATCTGTTGCATACATCATATGCCTGTCTTGAAACCATGCAAGTTTTGTCTGAAGTATTTCCTTAAAAGGTAAAGTTATCCCTGTGCTTAATTCAGTTAAGCGTTGCACCATGAAGACATGGGGGAGTGAAGGTATAGATCCATGTATTCTTGACCTTGGCACTAGTGGGTGAGTTTGTCAGCTTCACACCCCTTCTGCTCTACCCCCAGGGAAAGAACCCCTGGGTACCTGTTGGATAGGAAACTGGGTGGTCCCAAGAATCAGTCCGGACAACATGGAGAGGAGAAAAATCTTGCTTCTACCGGTACTTAAACTCCAAACCGTCCCTGTCCAGCCCGTACCCAGTTGCTATACCAACTGCGCTATCCCACTTATATGAAGTCTGTTCTTATATTATGGATAATAAAGGAGTTCAGTTATTCAGTATTGAGGGGGTGGGTTTCCTCATGCACTGCGACTAATAGTCTATTGTACGTCCCCCTTTAATTTCTACTGTCTCCATACCCTACCGATACTGGTGCTCACTATCTCCCCTTTTTCTGCCAGCGAGGTCGGCCCTCTACTGGCATTTTGGTACCCGATAACTTCCCCATCTACCGGAGGCATTGGAAACTACTTGGGCGGGAAACATTTTGACTAATTTTGCTCAGAGGTCTCCTCGAGACATGAGGATCTTTTATGTGCCATAAATCTACGACACGGGACCCACGGCTTTAAGTCCCTCCAAGAGGAGGAACTTAAAAATTCCACGACCTCCGCTGGGTTTGAGCCCGTGTACCTTGAGTCATGAGGTGGGAACGTTACCCCTAGACTACGGAGGCCGCTCATAAAGGAGTTACTCCAGGTGATCATGTTAATTGGTTCACCTGTAAAATTTCAGGACCCTACATTAAATGGTGCCAATGCTACTGCCACCTCAAATATTTGTACATAATCTGTTATATAGCTACCGCTCATTGTAGGAAATAAAACATTTTAGGATATGGTGGCCTTTAGTGGCATAAGGTTCACTTTATATTTTTGTGAAAATCAGCCATTTGGTAAAAAGTTGAAAGGAGAGAGATTTGGACACACACACAAATGGCATGATCTCATAAGCATATGTTTTTCCTCTACTAAAGGAAATTAGGCCAAAATAGCCAATTTCTGATTGATGATATTACTATCCTATACTTAAAAATATATGGTTGTGTAATCTTGCAAGTGGTACTGTGNAACTTATTTATTCAAATTTTAAGCACAAACCTTCAATCCCCTTCAAAGTACTCTCCACTTACACTAATACACTTGTCTAGTCTTTTATTCCATTTTTCAAAACATTGTCTAAATTCATCTTTTGAGATGCTTGACAGTGCCTCCGTCATTTTTTCCTTCACCTCAGCAACATCAGCAAAATGTTTTCCTTTCATTTCTCGTTTCATTCGAGGAAACAAAATAAAAAAGTCAGTACTCTTCTTTCAAACACAGCATGCTTCCACTTGACCGTGTTTTTATTCAGCAGTCAGCAGTCGTGACACGAATTTCGCAGCCACCCTTTTCATTCCCAAATCTTCTGTCAAAATTCGCTGAACTGAGCTCCAAGTCACTCCTGACAGCTCCACAATTTCTTCAATGGTCTGTCGATCTTCCTTGATGATTTCACGAATTTTTTCGACATTTTCATGTGTTCGGGCCATGGAAGGACGACCAGAACGAGGTTTGTCATCAATTGACATTTCACCATTTTTGAAACGGGAAAACCACTCAAACACTTGAGTTTTCCCCATAGCATCGTCCTTGTATGCCGTTTTTAACATTACAAGAGTTTCTGTTCCACTTTTCCCGAGCAAAAAGCAGAATTTCACCGCCGCACGCTATTCACGAAAATCAGCCATTGCAAAAACGACGATCACACAAAACAGTTGTCACTATAAACTCTGCCGAAACTAGTCCTTACCTTCTGAAGCAACGGTAGTTGGCTTATCGACTCAGGAATGTTAGCTCTATGCTCTCATTGTGGCAAAACATGGTACTACAAAAGCTCTGCCCACAAAAAAATTAGTTCGGTTTCTTTTGGGTACCCCATCGTAGTCATTGATCCATTTTTGAACCTACTTGCTACTAGTACAGATTCCAGGTATGTTGATTTGAGTCTGCCATGATAACCAAAGAATTCTGGGCAGTTAGCCTGCTTGCTACATACAGACTTCTGGACCTAGAAATCTTCTTTTATTATGTTAAGAAATTCAAGTATATAATTCAGTAACAGTGCAATGTAGCCGATGGGTTGATATACTGAGTTTGTGAACAGATGATTATAGGACTGAATCCTGTGTGAGTACTATGTTATGTTGTTGCTTGCAATTTTACGTAGCATACAGATTATCATCTATTAGGAACAACTTATTATGTAGATACAGATTTTGATTACATTAAATTTGTTACATACAACTTTAAGCTATTTTACAATTCCAACATTTGTAATTGTTGACTTGTAGAGAGTATGTCAGTGTAATTTATGGGTAGTATCAGTTGGTGGCAAGTTTGCTTCCTATAGAGGGAAAAGGTCAAGGCAGTATTGTATGGTATCACCTAGCTCAGTAGTTTTGCCTAGTACACTGCTTATCTTGGGTAACATCACATTGACATATAATTCAACATCACATTGACATATAATTCAACTAACACCATACGTTTGTTTGCTATATCTTGCACACATCACTTGATCAAGGGAGCTTGGGTTCTTATACATATCAAGATAATGACATTCTAAATATCTCCCAACTCATTTGAGTTCAGATGCTTGTAAGAAAATTTGAATTTTTACTCAGTTTTAAATGTGTAGTGTAATTTTTGAACAGTCACAATTTTCTATGCCATAAATGAGATAAGTGTAGGTAAGCTATGTTGCCTTTTCATAGTGGTTACAGGTGGAAGATTTCTTACCTCAATTATATAAGGGGCAGTCAAATGAAAATGAGTCACCACACATAACTCACATGTTGCGCAAGTTGGTAACACTGGAATTTGCTTATGGTACGAACATCTGGTGGGGACTCGGGAAAGCACAGTGACGTGCCCTTGCACACTAGTTGTTTGTTTACTGTGCTGGAAGTAAGGTTAGCGCTACATGTGGTCATCTAACATCAGTAATGGCAGGTAAAGAAGAACAGTGAAGTGTAGTGTGCTTTTTGACTGCTGAAGGAGTAGGAGGACAAGAAATTCATCGTCGCATGTCTGTTGGTTACGGCGAACACAGCACGTCACGTTTGCATGTGCTGGCATGGGATAAGAGGTTCTGAGAGGGACGTGTGTCATTTCAAGATGATGCTCACCCAGTACAGGTGCATCGTGTCACTCCTGATGTTATTGCTGCATTAGATGGTCATCTGGGCAAACCGACAGACCACTGTGGAAGAAATTAGTATTTTGATGGGAATAAGTCATGGTTCCGTACACCTGCTGTGCTGCAAAATCTGCGCACAGTGGGTTCCACATCAACTCACGAAGGAACAAGACTCAGAGAATGGCTGTATCACTGGGTCACTTCCAACGATACCATGAGGAAGAGTATGCTTTTCTGTCCTGTATTGCCACTGGGGATGAAACTTGGTGCCACCATTTTGAACTTGAGAGCAAATGGCAGAGCCCACAGTGGAAACGCGTGAATTCTCCCCCACCGAAGAAATCCAAAGCCATACACACAAGTTCTGGTAAAGTGATGATGACGTTCTTTGACTGCAAGGGCCCTCTGCTTGTCAAATTTCTCGAGCATGGGGTCATAATCAGTGCACAGTGCTGTGAAGACACTTTGCAGAAACTGAGATGTCATAAAGTCAAAACACCCTGGAATGCTATCGAACGGCATTATCCTTCATGGTAATGCGCACCCCCACACTACCAAATCTGTGAGGAATATGCTACAGAGATTTGGTTGGGAAGTGCTTCAGCATCCCCCCCCCCCTACAGCCCAGGTCTCTCCTCGTGTAATTTTCACATTTTTGGAGACCTGAAGAGAGACATTCATGAATATCTGTTTGCATCAGACGAAGACGTGTGTGGGTAAAGATGTGGTTCTGTAGACAGCCCACAAGCTTTGCAAGGATGGGATTGACCATCTTATCTCCCAGTGGGATAAATGTATTAACAGTTTTGGAGATTACTTTTAAGGTAAGAAATGTTTTGGCTTCTGACCTCTTTTCATTTGACTTCCCCTCATAATTACTATAATAGACTGCAATCTGACTAATAGAGAAATGAGTGAGTATTTTTAGGCTGTATTACTGGTGCCAGTATTCAGTTAGCAAATGAAATATGGTATTTAATAATTGCACAAGAAGTGTACTTTTAAATACAGCCATCAGTTTAATATATGTTATATTGGACTTAGCTATTAACCCAGTTGGTTTTGAAATGTGCTGATGTGATCTAATTGTTACAAGAGACAAAGCATGGCCACAAGCAGATAAAGATAAAACTGTAGAGCAGGTTGGTTTGAATGCAGCAACAATAAATTGAATACTGTTGGAGGATTGTTTGTATGATATTGTGACTCAGAGGACAGAAGTGTGGCTAAGTTCTCCAGTCCAGTAAAGTAGTAAACAGAGGGGTTCATTGTTGTACTTTGAGTTATAATATCATATGAATATTTCATTGGAATAGTACTCGGTTTATGATCATTGGATTCATATTAATCTGTTCTACAATCTTTGAGGGAGTGAAAAAATCGAGTTGATGTAAGAAAGTGAAGCTGACCTTGATATCCAATAAAATTGTAAGATACAAATAATCTGTTGCATACATCATATGCCTGTCTTGAAACCATGCAAGTTTTGTCTGAAGTATTTCCTTAAAAGGTAAAGTTATCCCTGTGCTTAATTCAGTTAAGCGTTGCACCATGAAGACATGGGGGAGTGAAGGTATAGATCCATGTATTCTTGACCTTGGCACTAGTGGGTGAGTTTGTCAGCTTCACACCCCTTCTGCTCTACCCCCAGGGAAAGAACCCCTGGGTACCTGTTGGATAGGAAACTGGGTGGTCCCAAGAATCAGTCCGGACAACATGGAGAGGAGAAAAATCTTGCTTCTACCGGTACTTAAACTCCAAACCGTCCCTGTCCAGCCCGTACCCAGTTGCTATACCAACTGCGCTATCCCACTTATATGAAGTCTGTTCTTATATTATGGATAATAAAGGAGTTCAGTTATTCAGTATTGAGGGGGTGGGTTTCCTCATGCACTGCGACTAATAGTCTATTGTACGTCCCCCTTTAATTTCTACTGTCTCCATACCCTACCGATACTGGTGCTCACTATCTCCCCTTTTTCTGCCAGCGAGGTCGGCCCTCTACTGGCATTTTGGTACCCGATAACTTCCCCATCTACCGGAGGCATTGGAAACTACTTGGGCGGGAAACATTTTGACTAATTTTGCTCAGAGGTCTCCTCGAGACATGAGGATCTTTTATGTGCCATAAATCTACGACACGGGACCCACGGCTTTAAGTCCCTCCAAGAGGAGGAACTTAAAAATTCCACGACCTCCGCTGGGTTTGAGCCCGTGTACCTTGAGTCATGAGGTGGGAACGTTACCCCTAGACTACGGAGGCCGCTCATAAAGGAGTTACTCCAGGTGATCATGTTAATTGGTTCACCTGTAAAATTTCAGGACCCTACATTAAATGGTGCCAATGCTACTGCCACCTCAAATATTTGTACATAATCTGTTATATAGCTACCGCTCATTGTAGGAAATAAAACATTTTAGGATATGGTGGCCTTTAGTGGCATAAGGTTCACTTTATATTTTTGTGAAAATCAGCCATTTGGTAAAAAGTTGAAAGGAGAGAGATTTGGACACACACACAAATGGCATGATCTCATAAGCATATGTTTTTCCTCTACTAAAGGAAATTAGGCCAAAATAGCCAATTTCTGATTGATGATATTACTATCCTATACTTAAAAATATATGGTTGTGTAATCTTGCAAGTGGTACTGTGTATATTTGTTACAGAGGGTCCTCTACCAGACTGGCTGAAAGATGTGGATGTAAGAGTACAGTTTGGTCTCAAGTTTGGTAAGGGGCGAGGCTTCATAAAGGCAGGGGATCCTGTAGTTGTTGTGACAGGATGGAAGCAAGGTCCAGGATTCACCAACACAATGCGCATTGTGTATGTATCTGCTGATAATAAGGGGGCCATGATCGGTGGAATTGTTGGCGAGAAAAAAAGTAGTAGCCCATTCCATACATATCTGTCATGAAACAAACAACTTCTTTATAACTTAAAATAAATATGAAGTACCAGATTTGATTATAAACATGTCATGTTCAACTTGTTTTAATGTAAGAAAATTTATTTAAAGCAGTTTTGCGGTGATGATGAGAAGTAGCCATTTTCTGACTTTCTGAAAACTACATAGTGTGTATATATTTTTATTGTATTTGTAGGAAACATTTAGATGTCCACCACTGTTTAAAAAAATAGTTGCTTTCTAACACAATGAATAATAAGGTTATATTGTCAAAACCATCTCTTGAAACAATTTTTCAGGTATTTCTTTCAAGAATACATAAGTATGCATACATGTGAAAAGTAAAAAGAATTTTGGTTACAATGAAAAATGCTGAGAAAAAAAGGGACACACTTTGTTATTTGTCCATGGCTTTAAAAAATTATTACTGTGTGATACTTCTCTTCAGAATATGTTTTGTTCTACCCATAAATTACCTTTGAAGCATTCATTATATGATAATCTACCAGGTTCATTTCATCATGAGTACCACTCGTGGAATGAAAACCATGCATGCTTATCACAAGAACACAACTTGCTGTTTCATCTCACCAAGTAACAGTAATTGCAGTAAATGGATGTGACACAATGCAGTGGTTGCAGGGACATCTCAGGCAAACTGAATCGCAATTTAGCTGTGATTGTGTCCAATGCTGCAGCTGTTGTGTGCAGCAGTCTTGTGGTTTTTCTGCACTAGTGGAAGCATACCTTTACACAGTATAACTATTTTAGATTAATGAAAGTTTATTGCATATTGGTTTCATAAATAAATGCAGAGTTTAATGCATAATAAATTATGACTGAAGCTCTAGGTATACAATATCACCAGGTGAATAACATGCTCAATTATATGCAGTTATTCAAACAGTGCTGTTTATGTTTGTTTCAGAAATGCTGAATGAAATGCACGTGCTGTCACTGATATGAGATGTGGATTGAAGCATGGATAAGGAAAGTATGAAGTCACTAGACATTAGAATGTCACATGATAGATGTTATAGATCTTGTTTTCTCCATGTCACTGTATTTAACAAAATGTTTCAGTAATACAAGTATGTTACTGGGATGGTTATTTCGTTAATTCAAAGTACATGTACAAGACATAAATTCTGTAACAGTATGTGATATTTATGTTACATTTAAAACTAATACTTCTGTTTTAGGTTATTGTTAAACATGAGTTGAAGTAATGACATCAGTATTAATTTCTGCTCCTGAAATTATAAATGACAATAATGTTAACACAGTAAACACAAGGAACAGTGTAATTACATGAACTGGAATAAGGTATTGCTTGAAATGTAAATATATATTTATCACTGTGATTACCATAGAAGTGAATAATTTTGTGTCAAATAAGTATTTGTCTAAATTAAAACTTTCAGAGCCCTGCTATTTTAACTCCAGCTTTGGTAGAAAATGTGATTGGAGCAGAGATGTTTTTCAGTTATTTGCCACTTACAATACAGTTAGTGTTTTGGTTTGTTTTTAGACAGACAGATTGTGTTAGGGTATCACTCAAAGATTTAAAAACATAAATACCAACAAAAAGCAGGACTGTAATAGATGTGTTAGGGTGAACATATATTTGTTACATTCTAGTCGGATATGGTATGTGTGTATTGTACTACAACTGTTTTGTAGAAGAAAACCAGCAAGTGAATGAAAAATATATTGTATGATCTGCATCTGTTTATATAGTTAATTATTCAGTTGTTTACTTTGTTATCATTCAAGATTTTAGAACATTTTCTAACCTTAAAAGGAGAAATAAAATTATTTTTCTTTTGTTAATTTTGGTAGGTATAAAGTTTATATGTCAAAGTAGCATTTAAAGCCATGAATGAACAAGTGTTCAGAATTATTAGGTTTCCAGAAAGAGGACTCCAGCATAACTTTTATTAATATGATTATTTCTGACGAGGTGCCTTATCCACTATTTTCATCTTCATGTGGTTTGGACAAGATACCTTGCAAATCTTGAGTTCATTCAGTGCATGGAATTTCTGTTGAACTGCATGGTTAAGATCTCAAGTATTGCATATCAGAATATTGGTAAATGAAAGAGAAATGCATATTTGTTTCATTGTTAGTTATGGGGGCAACAACCAAACCTTACTGGGATTAGTGGAATGTTAATAAAGGAAGTCCGGTTAATGAAAATTTCAAAGTTAAGTATTTTTCATTCCTTATCCAGCTCCCTTATAAACAAATAATTATTCCTTTATTATGAAGTACAAATTCGTGGAAATCTCAATTTAAGAAGTTGTGGAAGAACTAATCTCCTATTTTCCTTGATATGACATGGACCACATAGAAAACGGTGCATCTGACAGTTCTTGTATTGTTGCGTGTATTCATTGTTGCAGTAACATTTTTGCCAAGCCGTTGCCTAGCAATGATAGGGGATACACATACAGACACAGACTGTTGAGATGGGTTGAGGTACCATTTTATTTATATATATATATATATTGTCATGTGTTGGGTATGTCACGTGACAAATAACTTAACGTGGGTCTCAGATTTAGTGAATCTTTATTGGTCACTCACTCTTACCTTACAGTTATTATCGTTTGCAGTATCACTTGACTTCTGGCCCAATATGACGTCCCAACTATCTCTGGCAGTGGCTATTCGAAGACTGTCTTCTTGCTGTCTTGGTTTATGTAGGTGTTCTGTGCACTGGATACCAGACACCATTCCTCACTGTTTCGTAATGGGTGCAATGAACTCTCTGTAGTTCATTTCTGGGGAGATGCGTTTGTTGCTTCTGCATTATCTATGCAATGGCTCCCTGTTCTTTGCATTACCATGGAAGTGCCTATTCCAAACTCACGTGTTTGGCAACGCGTTGCCTTGGGAATGCTCCTTCACAACAGTCTGTTTGTATTCGATTTGTCACTGTTGGGACTCAACAATTTCCATTGTAGCCGTTGAGCGGCGATGGATGTAAGGTAACGCGTCACATTGCTCCCTTCTAAAGGTTGTTTGTCCCCAGACAGCCTAATGGTTCTTCCTTTCTCCCAGGTGTTCCCCTTCCTACTTTCCGCCCCCCTTCTTCCAGAGTGCTTGTCCCGAGCACTTCTATGGTCCAGGATTGTCTCAGTCATTCCTCACTTTCATTCTTGCTAGGGAGGCCGGTGTTTCTACTACCGATTCCTCCCATGCGGGTCGTTTCCCTTTTTTCGTTTTGAAGGGGGTCAACCCCTCCATAAGGTACATTTTCTTATTTTCCGTAACCCGTTGGAAGTACCGACTACTTGTTTCAAGATCTTTCCTCTGAAAATCACATTGACGGTCTTCTTGCTCATTTCTCCACTTTCTAGGTGTGATCACTGTTCTGATCCACACCCTTTGATGTAGTTCACGGTTTCCTTCTTTCTCACATACACCGGCCGCTTGCCGCCTCGGTCCTTTGTTCCCTCTTTTCCTTCATGGTGCGTCCTTAAATTTTCCTGAGCAGCCCTGCTCTCTGGGTTGCTCGCTCAGTCATGGCCATGGTGCAGTTTCTCCCGACGTTTTCCTTCTGCCATGCCACTTTTGCACAGTGGGTTGTGTTTGGCCCGAGGATGTCTCTCATGCATCTTGCCACTGTTGCGTGACGGGACATCCTAATGTCACTTCTCTTGTCCTCTTGCCATGCCACTGTTTCACGGTGGCTTGTTCCTCTGCAGGCGATGGCCAATTTCTTCTGGGGTCCACAATTTCCCCGTGTCGAGTCCTTCAGTTTCTGATGGCAGTGCTCCGTGGCCAGTTTTCGGTCCCTACGCCTTCTCTTCTTCGGCGTCTACTTTGAGGATATCTTTCTGTGCCGCCTCAGGTTTCCTGTCCAGTGAGGTCGGCTTCTTCTCATCTTGATGTGCCTCCATCTCTTGGCAGGCCACTGTCTCATTGCGGTTGTCATTCACCTATTTGTCTCTCATGGCGGCCATCTCTTCTCGCCATGCTCTCATATTGGCCTCCCTTTCTTCCTTCTTGGCATCCACTTTTTCTTGGCCAGCTCTGATTTCCTTCACCAGCAGTTCCATCATCTGCTGTAACTCCATTTTAGCTCATGTGGTGTTATAACAAATTTGCCTCAGAATCCAAACTGATCCCACTTCTGACACCAGTTGTCATGTGTTGGGTATGTCACGCGACATAACTTTATGTGGGCCTCAGATTTAGCAAATCTTTATTGGACACTCACACTTACACACCTTACAATTATTATCGTTTGCAATATCACTTGACTTCTGGCCCAATACCTCAATACGTCTCAACTATTCTTGGCCATGGGTGGATCTCAACTGACATTGGCTATTCCAAGACGGTATTCTTGCTGTCTTGGTTTATGTAGGTGTTCGGCGGACTGGATACCAGACTTCGTTTGTACTGTCCGCTGTTACATAACAGGCGCAACAAACTCTCTGTAATTCATTTCTGGGGAGACACGTTCGTTGCTTCTGCATTGCCTACGCAACAGGTCCCTGTTCTTTGTGTTGCCATGGAAGTGCCTATTCCAAACTCGCGTGTTCGGCAATCTGTTGCCTCAGGAATGCTCCTTCGCAACGGTCTGTTTGTATTCAATTTATCGCTGTTGGGACTCAACAGATTCCATTGTAGCTGTTGCGCAGCGATGGACGTAAGGTAACGTGTCATATAGTGTGTGTGTGTGTGCGTGCGTGTGCGTGTGTGAGCGCGCGCCAAGATTGCGACTGGATGGAGGGGAGACAAGAAGTGTGAAGACTGGAAGAGGAGTTCAACAAGGATGCTGTTTATCAGAAATTTTGTTCAACTTGTACAGTGAATGCCTTACCATAGAAGCTCTGGATGAGCTTGGAGACTTAAAATTAGGAGGGCAAATTATTCAGACTGTGAAATATGCAGATGACCTTGTGTTAATGGCCAAGGAAGAAACTGTGCTACAGGGTATGATTGACAGCCTAATCGAAATTGGAAGGTGCTATGGCACGGAAATGAATGTGGAAAAAACAAAAGTAATGAAAATTTTGAGACAACCAACCCCAGTCACAACAAAGATAAACCAAAAACAACTGGAGAATGTGAAATGTTTTCAGTATTTGGGTAGCTTGTTAACAGATGATGGAAGGTGTACTTGTGAAATTAAATCTAGGATTGCCATGACAAAAGCTGCATTTAGCAAGAAGAATCTTTTTACCAGCAAATTGGACTTAAATGCTACATTTGGAGCATTGCTTTGTATGGGGCTGAAACTTGGACACTTAGGGCAGTAGATGAGAAACACCTGGAACGCTTCAAAATGTGTTGGAGAAGGATGGAGAAGATCAGTTGGACTGATTATGTGAGAAATGAAGAAGTGTTATTTAGAGTCAGTGAGCAGAGGAATATCCTACACAAAATAAGAAAACAGAAGGCTAATTGGATTGGTCATATCTTACGCAGTAACTGCCTTCTAAAAGAAGTTATTGAAGGAAAGATAGGGGGGTGGATAGAAGTGACCATAGACTAGGAAGAAGACATAAGAAGATAAGGAGAAAGCTCTAGATCGTATCAAGTGAAGGAACTGTTTTGGAAGAGACAGTGGACCTGTTGTCTGACAGATTACTGATGATGATGATGAGGAGGAGGAGGAGCCAAGTTTCATTAAGATTGGTTCAGGCATTCAGAAGTTAATAGTGGGGGATACACAGATAGCATGGAGAACCCATAAGCCTACTTTAGGAAAGCAGGATAATAAAAATCACCTAAACTGTGTCCCTTGCACCGTATCATAATGTAATGCAGTAATGGGGTTGCCCACTGTTACCATTGTAATGACTGCTGCTGTAAGTGTATGTAACAGGCAAGATTGGTGACGCTGCCTGCAATTGTAATGTTGAGGTGGTAGCCCCATCTGTACCTACTATGACAGCTGAGGCTGATGTTTTTACAGAGATGTAATGGTTTCTGTAGAGCATACTGCAGGCACCAGTTTGTTGCCAAATACTTCCTATACTCTTTTGGGTGTTGGCAGCTCTATCATACATATTCTGGGTGGCATTATAATTTGTCACATCTGTACGTTATTCTGACAGTTAAAGTACTGCAACACTCATATGACTGTTAAGGCTAACATTATCTAATGGTGAGTCGAGTGCCAGCATTGCTGTGAGAGAAGGCTGAAATATGGTTTTAGATGCATACACAGTGTATGTTTAAACTATTGTTTATTCTAAGCTGCTTCTGCCGCCGCCACCGCTACAAGGATAGCACTATTTACAAATATAATGTATGCTGAAAGAATTAATAAACATTTGCTATATGCATGCCTTTCATCATTCTAGCTTAGCCACTGTTCTAATATTTATAAAATAAATAATTACTCATTCATGTTTTGGTTTTTACCTGCACTTACATGAAATCAGAAGTGCATTGGTGATTTTCATCTTTCTGCAGGTGACTTTGGAGTTCATTTCAGTCACTATAACTTCAGTAACTTACACGCATGTGGTTGGACCATCCAGACTTTGCAAACAAGCCACTGGCAATCACCTACTGTTGGCATCATTGTGGTCAGTAGTAAAATCCATGCATGCCAAGCACCATGTGTCTACAGGATACAGACATCTATGGGTACAAAGACATGTGCAGCTCATTAACAGAGCTCTTGATGAATGGTGAATAGTGTTCCTGTAGAAATATGAGAATGTTATGATTTATGAGTTTTATGTTCCTGTATCAGTTGCTAAATTTACGTAGGACTGAATTACATATGGCAATGTGATAATATGAATGTCTAAAGATGTTGGAGAAGGTAGTCATGACCTAAGAAAAATAATTATTATCTGGTGAATTTAAGTGTAGATGGTGAACAGTGATGTATAGCATACATTTTTGTTTGCTTTAGTTGATTTTCAGGTTTCTCACTTCTTACTAATGAATGAAAGGAAAAGGTGCATTAGCAAGACTGCGACGAAACCTCTGCCATGCCCTGGAGATCCACCATACAACTGTTGTGTGCTTTCGCTTTTGAGTGTCATACATTATTCTCATTACCTTCTGTCTTGATATTCCTTTATTTTGTTTACTTTTATACTTCTGTGTGTAGAGCTTCATACTGCAACAAAGTGAGAAAGTATCATGGTGGAGGTTTATGATTTTCAAACTGTATTCCGTAGGACATGTCCTGTAAAATTTATACATACCAGTAATGGGTGATGCACTCAATTGGCACCAGGACACATGAACAAGCAATTCCAAAAGCGATGAGATACAGAATAGGGCAGATGTCATCAAGTGCAATACTGATAAAGCTTGTTCCTGCAGGTGGCTCAGGCGAATCGCACAATGGTTTTACTTCAAACCACCGCTGACGTTCTCGTGCCATTAGACCAAACTGCATGAGGCGCATCAGACTGACATATAACATAGTATATTCCTATAGTTGTTACTGTGTTCTGGAGGAACCACATAATATAGACAACTAATCAATTTTCTTTTCCCGCATATATGCTTTACACCAGTAACTCAAAACATACTGCTTACTGTACTAAGTTTCTTTTCCCTAAGGTAAATTCACATAAGAATCCATGCTGCTAGTTTCACTTGAAATATTATTGATGTCTGTAAATAATAAAAAAAATGTTTTCATGCAAGGTGTAATAGAAAACTGTCATTTCAAAAGCTGTTAGAGGAGGAGATACACAAAGATCGACACAGGCATGCTGATGTAAGCTTAGCTTGTATCATGAAGTAATGAAAGCAGAGTGACTGATTCTTAGATTTTTTAGAGCACTGTTTCCCAAATGACATCAGAAGCAGAACTGTAATTGAGTTTCTGAAAGCAGAATATCAATCAGTGGGCACATTCACAAAATACTAAAAGCTGTCTATGGAGATAATACTGTCAACCAAAGTATTTATTAATCATTTAGAATTTATTTATGATGCTGTTAGTGTCTCAGACTGTACAGCATTTTACAATGATTTGGTGATTAGTAAGTAGTGAACTATGGTACAATAGGCCAGAAGTGGCTGCAGTACAAGGGACTTAGTCCCACCCCACTAGCATTAAAATGAAGGTAGTGAACTGCATAGAATGTGGAAGGGAGTGGTCATGGTCTAATTTAAGCTACTACCATGTCAAATTCCTGAAGGGACTGAGAAAAACCATGAAGGGTAGCCCTCTCCCAGCCTGAGTTTCAAATTGGGCACCTCCCCCCTAAAAAATGACAGTCATTTGTAACTACTGACATGGTGACAACAGAATTACTTTCATTGGATGATGCAAAATAAGCAGTATCAAAAGGGCATGAAGTTCACCGTGATACTCTTGCTCTCTTGAATCCTGCCGTGAGATGCATTGCTAACGTGTTCAGTGTGATGATATTCATAAACAAACTGAAGTATTTGCAGCAAGTTTGACCACAAAAGCAAATGAAGGCGACCCTGCTGTAGTATAACACATGTCCTGACACCAGAGATGAAATCACAAATGAGGAATGGACATTGGTGTCCCATTTGCCTCACATCCCAGATCTGGATTATGACCTCAATTTTGTTGGGAGCCCTGAAAGATGCCATTTGCACACAAAAATATATGCTATGAAGTCTCTGAAGGAATAAAAAAGTGTGTTACTGGTAGGAGAGGAATACATTCTCACGGTATAAAGTTGTTGAATTATAAGGGAATAAAATATGCATCTAACCAGTATATCTAATAATTTTGTGTAATACTGGTATACAGTGATGAAGGGAATAAAGTAGTACACTGCATTCTGGGCATGGTAATGTGTGATTCAGAATAAGTTTTCACAGTGAGAAGCAGACTGAAATACTTACCCAAAATTGATAGGTTTTGTAAATGGTGAAGAGAGTGGGAGAGCAAAGGCACGCTGATATTCTGGACCTTGTAGCAATGGGATCTTTCCTACACTACACAAAGCTTCCTCTGTTTGCTGACTATGATGCAGGTAAGTGTATGCATCCACTCTGTCAGCACAAAATGCAACTTCACCCTGTGAATGAATGTATTGCAGTGGTTATGTTAACACGCGAATGTATCAATGAAAATGTTCACACTTAATGTATGGCAGAACAAATAAGGAGGACTGATCACTGAAGATGAGTAATATTGGATGTATCGTGAGGTAGGCTGCAGAATTGGAAATCATGTTGAAAAATTTATTTTTACTGATAGAAAAATTATTTATTTTAATCAATACACAAAGGAAGCTACATGCATGCACAAAAATACATGGAAACAGCTTTCCTCATAAATTGAGTACTGGAAAGAAACTTCTTGTTATAATGGCCAAAGTTGATACTTTTGGGTGAACATCATTTACAGTCAGTATAAAGGAAGAAGTTTAACAAACAAATCTACAACTACAGGGGTATTTGGCCCGTCATAGTTTGTAATCAGTATATTGAAATTAAAGGCTGGATGAATAGAGAATAAGGTTAACTTCCTGGTGGGGGAAGAGAATTTTCTTGTTCTCAGTGTCAAGTTAGGCTCTGAGGTCCAAACAGCCTCCTATCTAATGGGTGGTGAGGGCTCTTTCTCTGAGAGTAAGGCAAATGGGGGCATGAAGCAGACCACTAACTTCCATCTGGTGCCCAGACATCAGAAATAATGGTGCTATCTATATCAAACTATATCTCTGCTACACCATGGTTACAGAATATCATTAATTAAGCACAGGGACAACTGCACCTGTATATTTACAATTCCTGTCTACTTTTCTGTATACTTAGGAACTGAATACAGTTACAGCTATAAAATACCGTATAGCATTTTGGTGTGTAATGAATGAGAAGAGTTCCATCTTTAGGGATATAATGCCATGTAATCCATTAAAAGCCCATCATTCTTTTGGAATAAGATGTCATCCCCATCTTTTGTTTGTTCCCTGCTTCATGCTGGTTTCTTACGTGGCTTACTCTTTAACCCTGAACATGGAGGCCACATATTCCACTGAAACATCAGTTGACTTTTGACAGACTACATGCAGTTAATTCCATAAGATATAAATCTTCATAACCACCACTGTGAGAACCTACATATAGTGACTGAGTTCAGATAGTGGTACTGCAAAATAAGGTGTTCCTAGTCTTCAAAAGTTACCTTCACTGTGGATTCCAAACCATCAGCCAGTTCCAAGAATGATGGTGAAACCTCAATCTTGTGAAGCTTGCGAGAAACAGCATTATCTTCATTCTGTGAAGTAATTTTAATATGGGAAAAATATAGCCATCAAGAAAGAAAGCAAAAACCTTTTTTTATGAAAGCTATTCTTTACCAGCACTAACATTTTGACCTGAAACGTTCATGGATCAAGAGAAACATGGATAAACTACAGGCTAATGAGATGAAGTGGGAGTTGAATAACCAAGAGGAAGAGAATACAGAATGAGGCTTTAAGGAGGATTGAGATACAGTCTTGTAATAATGCAAGTTTTATGGTACATTATTTTTAAATTATCTTATTACATTTTTTACTTTATATTATTATTTATGTTAATTAATGTAAGTGTTTCTGATTATGTGACTCATGTAATTTTGTATATGTATCTTGATATATCTATTTTCAAAGGGACCATTTCCACATCCTAGGTTTGTTACCTACATGGATATATGGAAAATAAAGGAAATGAATGAATGAATATTGCGTAAATAAAGATTAAGGTGGTTTAATCATGTTCAAATGGACAATGACAGAATATCAAGACAGTTTTAGAAATTTGATATAGTTAAGACATTGTTATTGAAAGGTGTGACAGGTGAGGGCGACACAGACAGAACTGGCCCTTTTTTGTGAAAAGAAAAGTCATGGTACTCACATTTCCACCATTCTGTTTTTGAATCAGTTTGCTCAGTTTTCATTAAATTTAGCATGAACATTATGTCAGTGGGTCATTGATGCCATCTGACTGTTTTCCAAGACTGCATTTACTTTATTTCTGTAACATTTTTTATTAAGAAAAGTGTCAGTACTGCATGCCCTCAACCATGTAGTGCACCGAAGAGAGGAGCAGTAGCATGAAAACAAGTGAAGAAGGGAATTCTGTATAAAGATAGAGTGGAAATCTGTTGATGACAATGTTGGCAGTGGTGGTGTAGTAATTTAATGTCATGTAATATTGAGTGGATCCATATTCTGATTTTCCTTATTTTATATTTTAAATTGTTTTCCCTAGATGTGAATCACATATGTTCAGCAGCAATCCACAGTTATGTAGTCCACCTTTTGCAGTGATGTTACAGACGCTAGCCAGTCACGTAACTGGCTCCATATTGAGCAGATGATAGATATTCAGCTGCTCAAGAAGTGTCCTGTCATTATGGAATGTAAAGATCCCTCATCATCTCGTGTCCTCATAGGTCACCATTTACCTACACAACTTATTTACTCTTATATAACCTCAGCAGTTACTTCAGCCTCCTTAAATAACTTAGAACATATGTGCTCACAAATGTGAAATTCATATATTTGAGTCTAAACCACATTATTGTGCTACATGTTAAAGATATACATAAAGTTGGCATTTCAGCACTCTACCTTGAAGTGTGAGTGGTAGTAATGTATGTTGAGGAGAGCAAGGCCCATCTTGGAGCCATGGCGCAAGATACCTTGAAGTGTGCTGGTCACAGAGCTTGGTGATGACAGTAGTGAAATAACGCTAGCTGAATAGGCTGTGTATGTCAACACTGCCAACACGAACAGGGCAATAAATAGTGTTCTTGCTGCTGATGTTGTAGGATTACGAGATGAACCTGTTAGTTGACAACAGTTTTTATTACTGTGAGGTCATATTGCAGATCTTCCTATATGAGAAACTTAAATCTTCTAGTATATTAATAATACGTATATTACTTGGAAACACCTTCGGTTTAATTCTTCAGAGTAACTGTTGTAATTATTAAGTCAAATCGCTTGTTGGTTTTTTTAAGCCTTGGCATGGTGTTCAAATACTAATAAAGGAAAAAGAGTCAACTCAAAGGTGACTGCATGTTACTGTAATTATGAAGTAATTTTTCTGGCTAACAAACATGGAATTTGGGAGTTTTTAGGAAAGCTGAAATGTCAGGTAACCTTGTTCTTTAGGACTGTGGTCTTCTAGGCTGTGATACCATGTAATTTTATAGGTGGATATGTTCCAGAGTAACATCAGTGTCTGCCTATAAAACTGCACAATGTCATAACCTGCAACACAACGATCTTCATAACCACTGCCACTCTTTCAATAGATATGAAACTTAAAATTGGGTTGCACAAAATCTTGTACCCAAATATCATTTATTTGCTAGATGTATATGACAAGTGTCTTCATTATTAGGGACTGCTGTAAGCAGTCTGTCTCTCACCATATTTCTAAGATCTGCTGTTCCACCTACCACAAGTGAGTGGAAGTTTTTGTATATCAAAGTTCCAGCAACAGACATACACTGTATTATAATTTGAATTAACTCAATTAGTAACCAAACAGGAACACTGTCAAAATCTTTTAGCCTTTGAAGAGCACAGTCCAGATGAGTTAAGAGATTAGGGTCTTAGGATATAGTGTCATATGTGTATAATATCAAATTAAAGTATAAAATGATAAAGAGAGAAACCAAGCATTCAGTGACATTATTATTAGAAATAATGAAGTGGAACCTGTAGCTGTATCGCCCTTCACTGAAATATTCTACAATACACCTGGAACCTCACAACAACACACTAATTCTGGACTATTACTCCGTATCGTTCATGTGACTGCTATGTTACTGGAAAAAGTATAGCTAATAATCACAGGTTATATGTGACTGCTATGTTACTGGAAAAAGTATAGCTAATAATCACAGGTTATATCAGTTAACATATAATTTCAACATTGACAAATTAGAGACGATTATTAGTTTTTTGCTACTAGATCAGTTTAACATTGGTGATAAAAATTTATAATTTTACTTTCAATTATTCAAATATTTCCAAAGTTATGTTTGAATTGCACACGCTTTCTACATTTTCTGTAAAGAGAAATTACACCTGGGTTTTAAAATTGCCAAAGATAGACCAATTCGTCTTCTTGGTGACATTTTCAAAGGCAATTACAAGACTAAGTCCTTAATGATGAATCATTTAGTGAATCCAGGCATTCCAAAAGGCTACATGAAGATCTGCCTGTCCCTTACATGGTGTGCTAACATTAAGGCTTGTATTATGAAGGTTCTATTGCACTGGAGTGACAACATATCTCAGCTATTTTAGTCAGTTCCTATGGAAACATTCAATTAGATATGTAAGATTTGAGGTTTTCATGGTGGTGACTATGAAGGAAGCAGTCTTCTGTGATGTGGCGCTGTGTAGATATTGTGTTAACCGACGTTTCGGAGGAACGTATCGCCTCCATCTTCAGGGTAGAAGAAAAAAAAAGGAAGAAAATCCGCGAGCTGGTTCCTCGCTGGCGGATTATCTTCTTTTTTCCTTCTACCCTGAAGATGGAGGCGATACGTTCCTCCAAAACGCCCGTTAACACAATACCTACATGGCGCCACATCCCAGAAGACTACTTTCTTCATTTAATTAGATAACTTCACATTTTTCAGGAATGGAAACATGATGTTAACTGATCATTGCCTGTATATATTAATTTTTCATCATCAGACTACAAAAGAAAATCTTAATAAATGTGTCAAAATATAAGTGATATGAATGACAGTAACACATCAAGATTGCTTGCTGAAAAAGTTAGGAGTAGCTGAAATTTGGGGACTGCTTGTTACCATTCAATTCAGAACCAGGCCATCTACTTGAGTATTTGGCTTTTACTTTTCCACATTTTTCTAAATCAAATTTTAGGATTATTATCTTCAATTTCTATGCAACCATGTATGAAAATAATGAAAGATTAACCTGGGAAATAGACATATACCTTGTTGACAGACTGCTCCTGTGGTAACCAGCAGAACTTCACTGAGCTCCCACTTTAGCTGCACTGGCTTATCAACTGTCTTTCCCTCATTGATTAATAACCCAAATTCTTGTTGTGGTAGCTGTGACTCCCGACAGAGGATGAATGTGAGTGCAACAGTGATGGCCAACAGAAGTGAGCATAGTGATGTCCAGACACCAATTGAGAAAGGTAAGATGTAGATATTTCGTGCAGCCCTTACAGACTGCACTTTATAGTACAGCTGTGGCCTGTAACAGAAATGTCATATGTTCAATAGTGTTGACAAGTAGGTGTGAAGAAAACCTGCAAATATGGAAGAACTGGACTATTTGACTTCTAATAGTTCTACATTTCCTTATGCCAATTTTAACAGTTCTGAAGTGCAATTTGGGTAAACATTTTGTAAATTAAATTAAATGTCCCACATACATACAAATTGGTGTGTGTTTATGAGCAAAAGCACACTCTCTTCCATATAAATACATACAGGTAGGCAAATATACAGACAGTGATCTTTGCCTTTACTTCCTATTCTGTTTTCTAAACCGTTCTTCACTTATTCTTTCATCTGTCTCCTTATTAGTCATTCATTCACCATCTTTGTTTTTGATGTGATTGAAAGAATCCTATGTCCATATCAGTGAGTCCTTATTTTTAAAAGATTTCTTTTTTAAAGTTTTCTCCCTCTAAACACATTATCTCTGCATCTTATAATCTGCTTACAGTAAATCCATGTATTGAAATAGGCAAGTAGTATAGCATTTTGTATTACATAATTTACAGAAATGTTGTGTTTTGTAATCATATTTCATGTGCGTAGTGGTATTTTGTTCAGATTCTTTGCTATGTAGTGCTGATGTCCATGATATAGGTAATTCAACAATATATTCTGATTACCACTGAAATTCAAATTACACAGGCCTCCCATAATATAGACCTGGGTTCATGACAGAGCCAGTACATATTACAATACTACACTGGCTGAAATGATTCTTATCAAATTTTATTGACTTCTTAGAGAAATCTGATCCAAGGCCATCCATTCCATTCTATAATACCCACTGCTGTAATTAACAATACTTGGGGGAAGAGAAAGAAGGAGGCTTCTGCTTCATCATTATTGCAAGAAAAATTTTGGTGACTGGTAAATTCAATATTAGTAATCAGTAATCACGTATTTTTGGTGTGGTAGTGATTTCAATGAGTCATTTAAACAGGTTCCTGCAAACCTTCCTTCACATATTTTTAGTTAAAAATATTTGTTGTATGGGAATTGAGCAGCAGTAAAAGAATTAGTACTGAACATCATGGTCAAGTGGGTAGCATGCCTGCTTCATGTTCAGAAGGTTTAGGATTCAAATCACAGCCCTGATGCTGGTCATTCTGAGTGAAAATATTTGTGGTTCACCTCAGTCTCTCCAGGCAAATGCCATAACAGTACCTTCCACATCCTTTCTAATTCATTATTCACTAAGTATTCTCTCATCTGATGCTACATAGTGTGACAGCACTGTTATATCTGTCATAAAAAAAGCAAATAAATAAACAAATGAACAAGAATTGTCAAATATTTATATTTTATGTTCTAAACTTTCTGCATAAGCAACATAATTTGTGGAGCAAGGGTGTCCTTTGTCACACTCTTTCAACATAGTACTTTTAATTTAGGGATCACTTACTTTTTAAGATTTATGTTGTGACATGAGTATAGTTCCTTGTAACTTTTAAACAATGATTTCTTCTAAATGTGGTTATTGCATAATCTGTGTCCATAATTTCCACAGAGTCAATCTATTTTTAATTGTATAAATATTTCAGGGATTCCCCCCAAGCTAATCTTCAGGAATGTTTCTGGGCACACAATTGATGCATTCATGAAAATACCAACAGCCTGCTTCTCTGTATTACAGAAACATTGGGACTTAGTCGGGTGAATAGGAACAGCCGAAAATCTAGTGTCAGATGTTCCTTTAGTTCAACTGGAACTCTATCCTATAGGAAATTCATTTTCTGTTAAATTATTATTGTTAACTATCATGTCTTTTCATTGATTTTAGAGTTTAGTTCTAAAGGGCAGACATGAAGCTGCATTCTTCTACTGAATTGTCTCCATATGCTCTCTGTAAAATAAAGACATATATTGAAGGGAAATAAACGTTTCAGGTATAAGATGGAAATACAATTTCATCTTTGTAGTTCATCAAACAGAACTATACATACAGACTATTTTTAAATATATTTTTAGCTCTGAGTTCACATGTACTTTCTGTAGAGTGTCAGTCACATAAAACGTCAATTAAGGAAAGTGATTTTTGCATCTGCCTTGAATACTGCCAGTGTCTGCAAATCAAACAAAAGAGGGTACATATTTGCGTTATGTCTGACACAGAAGGGGAATGTCAATCACTGTCTGTCCCATATTATGCAGTTTTTCTTAGCAGTGACTGTACTGTGTGTGAGTGAATAAGTTAAATTAAAAGCAGGCTTTACTCTAGATATTGATCACTGGAAATGGGGCATTGTAACTTCCCTCTTAAATACATTAAACTTTAATTCTATGAAATTAATGTATGTTAATAATGTTATTTCCTTTATATATCACATTGATAATGTTTTCAAAGAAAAATGAAAGAACAGAAATATAGTAATGTCAGACAGGTGTTCAGATATTTCATTTTAATTCTGTTCACATAGGAGGCATGCGGTAGTGTAGTGGTTGAGGGGCTATGCTACAAGCCAAAAGGTCGCGGGTTCAAGTCCCGATGAGGTCATTGGATTTTTTTCAGTTGACCTAATCCTTCCAGCTGCACTAGGCCCTGGAGTTTACTCAGCCTCTAACAGGAATTAATTAAATAATTTTCCGGGGGGAGTAAATTGTGGCTGGCACGTAAGGCTGACAACCTTACCACCATCTTTGAGCCGATTGTCTAGATAATGTGGGACACTCGATGTCTCACAACCCTATGGGCCTTCACGGCCTGGTACAGGGATAGCTTTACTTTACTTTTTACTTTACGTAGTGAGGTAGTCTGCCATGATTTATTTTCTGCATTTTATGCAAACAAAATTTTATGCAATTGTATTTCTTTTCTCTTTAGAATTTAAATAATGGTAAAACCAATGTATTGTCATTAATGGAGTAGGACAAAACAGGCTTAAAATAGAAGATATTTCACTTACTGATCATTATTGATCACTTACTAATCACAGAAATAAAATGAATAAATGACAAAATAAGTGTAAAATGAAAGATATTTCACCTTGGAGTAGACATCAGGTATCATAATTTTCAATTGTCAGATTATGGTATCATATTCTGTGAAATTAATAAGATGATAATGGCTTTCTTCTGTTAGCAACTCTAATGTACTCTCATCAATGTAATATGAGGCAGAGAAAATACTGTCAATAATGCATTTGGGTCATCATATAAAGGTCGTATTATTTTTTGTGTAACTAACTAAAACTGAACCTATGGAGCTAAGCCCTTCTTCAGAAGAGGTTAGTTGTGGGGTTACTCAATAATTTTAATTTTATGGAACCCGGAAGTTTATTACTGTGTTCACGAGAGCCCTCCATGGGTCCCCTTCCTGAGCCAGCTCAATCCAGTCCATACTACCAAAGATTTATTTAATATTAACCACCCACCTATGTCTAGGTCTTCATAGTTGTCTTTTTCCTTCTGACTTTCCAACCAAAATCCTATATGCTTTCCATGTAGGCCCCATTCGTGCTACATGCACTACCAATCTCATCCTCCTTGACTTTAATTATACTCAGCAAACAGTACACATAAAGTTCCTCGTCATACAATTCTCTCCAGCCTCCTAAGACTTCATCCCCCTCTGGTCCAAATATTCTCCACAGCACCCTGTTATCAGGCACCCTCAGTCTATGTTCCTCCCTCACAGACCATGTTTCAAACCCATACAAAACCACAGGCAGAATTATAGTTTTCTGTATTCTAACTTTTAGGGTTTTGCATAACAGAGAAGAAGACAAAAGTTTCTGGACTGAATGATAGCTACCATTACCCAAATTCAATCTCCTTTTAATTTCCTCCTGAATGAATTTTTGATTTGTTACTGTTGTTCCCAAAGATTTGAAGTGTGCTACTTTTCAAAGGATCTATTAGCTCTCTTTGCATTATGATTTTTCTCTGCATTCTGGTGATGATACAGCAATATATATGAGTACATAGTTTCTTTGCGTTTACTTCTAGACCAACTGCCTTACTTGCATCAATTAAAGTTACTGTGTTTTTCTTTGTGGTAGTTATGTTGTCTTCCAACAGATTTACATCATCAGCATAGACCAGCAGCTGATGTGTCCCATTTAATTTCAGTCTGACCTCGTTTTCTTGGACCTTCCTAGTGGCATATTCTATGTTTTGTTTAACTTTAACTAAAATTGTGTTATGTTGACAGATTTTAGTAAGACTGCCCAGTATAAAGAAAAATTAGTGTATAATTTCCAACTGAACAGCATATGTATATGAATCAACTTAGTAACCCAGAATTGACCTGGAGGGAATGATAGACTAGGATAGATGATCTTGGGGGTTGAACTATGGATTCTTTGTACCACTGCACCTGTTAGTGTTGGTCTAATATACACACAAGTATATTTTACAACTATCTTTGATTAATAAAGTTATAATTAAGATTTTTAGTTTCAGTTTAATATAGCAGAGAAAAAACAAAAGTTATATTGCAGTCAGTTTAGCATATTCGTGTAAGAATCAGTATCATTTTGATTTCATCACACAGAGGGTGGGTAACAAAATCAAACCAAAAAGATTGACAAAGATATACCTGAACTTCTCAACAGCCACAGTATACTCAACTAATCCTACTCTATCATGAGTGACGAGAATGCTGGATGCACCAATATCTGCTTGACCTCTCATCAGCTGTTTGAGAAGCCAAAGGTCTGCTGAATTCTTGAATGGGCCCCTGGATTCAACAACCTGAAACCTGTATTTTTTCACTCTTTAGCACATGGATTAATTTATGATAGCCAGCTGCATATGAGAATTTGACAATTTCACTTAATAGAACAATGAAACTCATTATGTTGAAATCTCTCTATAATTTCTTCAATTTTAATGATGTATTTGAAAACCAGAATTAATGGCCGTGGGGATTTGTTGCGCTGACCACATGACACCTTCTATCCATTAGAGTTGGCACTAATTTCGCCAAGAGACTGTACCATAGTTCAAGTGGTTACTTGCTGGCTTCCCACCGCGGCATCCCAGGTTCGATCCCAGGTCTGGTCAAGTGGGATTTGTGGTGGACAAAGTGGTGCTGGGGCGGGTTTCCCCTGCCAATCTTCATTCCACTGTGCCAAGTGAATCCAGTTGGACTCCACCCCCATTAAGCGAACTTCACCGAGAAGTGGCGGTCGCTCGGTCAGTATAGTTCGCTTGTGGACTAAAGCCATGGAGTTTATTTTTTTATTTAGCATAAAATAATCTACATTTACTTTCAGGCTTGATTTTGAAAGGATATATATCCCACTCATAATGAGTCTCACAATAAACTTTGCTGTGGTGTGGTGGCCTGTATTACATAATATAAACACGAATACAATGAAATGAATATAATAACAATATCTTGCAGTATCAGATATGTTACCAAAAATAATAATTCTAGACTTCTTATGTGAGGAACATTGCTGCAGTTAACAAATTCTTTGTTTCTAGATACATATTTAGGAACTTAAAGAAGTACATGTTAAGCACTGTTTTTAGTTATTCAAAAGTGTATATGTGTATATTTGCTTTCATTGATATTTGTTGTTAATAATCTGGATAAGTTTCAAACCAATAACTCTGTATATGTGATTGATACCAGAAGGAATGACCACCTTCATATACCTTCAACACATTTATCATCCTATCAAAGAGGGGTGTATTATTCAGGCATCAAGCTATTTAACACTCTGCCATCAAATATCACAGTTTAAAAAATGATAAAAAGCAATTTAGGTTTGTTTTACGAAATTATTTGCAAAGTAACGTATTGTGACATGTCTAACCATTGCGGGGCAATGGGAGGTGGAACGAGTTACGATGAAGACAGACCATTGATAAATGGTCGGTTGCCAAGTTACGAAACAGTGGAAACGAGGTTACACAACACTAAGAAAAGCGGTTTTTCTCTGAGCCGAGCCAAGCCGAAGAGCACTGGTTGCCACGCAGCAATAAACAACTCTCGGCACCATTGCCCAACAACGCCTTTGTAAACACAGCGTCACGCAACAGGGGAGCCAATGCAACAACTGTTGCTAGGCAATCAGTAAACACGACATTACACAACAGTGGTACCTATCATGCAATTGTTTTCTGTGTTGTCCGTGTCAAGCCTAAATAAGGAGCAGCGAACATTATTCAGTAGTGAACCCCGTGTGGAGGGAGGGTCGAATACCTCCACTGTGACCCTGTGAGTTGTAGGAGGCGACAAAAAGGGAAGTCTCAATTCTGAGACAGTAAAATATGGTTGCGAGTCCTAAGGGACTCGCATCCAAGTAAGACTGCGCTGGCAAGGGCCAGCAGCGTATACAAAAGACAGACCCATCCTCTCGTCAGAGAAGGCGACTCACAGAAACAAGACCGTAACTGTCAAATGGTAATAATTAATATCTGGTCATGAGCCCCAAATGGGGCTCGACACCAAAACTTACTGACTGACTGACCGACCGTCAGTTGCAATGTGACTTTGACTTTGATTCATTAGTGAGTGAGTTACTAGTGAGAGGGAGTAATCAGCCAGTTGCAGTCTAGCATTTGCCGGAGTGAATGGAAGCAGCAGAAGTAGTTGTGATACTGCAGACGGCAGTACTTGTGAAATTGTTAATTGTGTAATTGTGAGAGCGAGTGGAATAAATATGCTATATTCAATACGGCGTGAAGTTATTTGTCGCGTTATACACCCAACATGTGACAGCATTTTACTCTATTGATGAATTTGTAGAGCATGCAAGGGGCTTAAAAGTTAAGAGTTAATAAATTGTCTGTGTGCATGAATTATATACTGTTGAGACTTGCTTGTTGTAAGTGTAGTAGTATGTATGATGTTGGTTTTTGTTATGAATTTTAATATTTTATAATTGTAACTGTTTTAACGATATGGCTTGCCAGTGTGTGTGGAATGGCAAGGCGTGAATTTGACAGTGGTTTTTCCATGATCCATGTCTGTTGTCCTGACAACTTGAGCTATCTGTGAGAGGCCTTATTATATTTTTTATTGGACAAAGGATGAATGATGTGTAGTTGTCATGAATTTGTAATATGTGACATGTTTTATATCCAGCCCTACAGGGAAATGATTGGATCCATGAAGTGAAAATAAATGTAAATGTAAGTGTAATGATCTGGTAAACTTCTGAAATCAATGTATAATAAGTGCATAGACGAAATTATACTGCCCATGTACTAAGTGTTCTATGAACCAGATTGTCAGTAATTGCAGTCAAGACACAAATGCAGTTTCACCTTTTCCACTCTCTCTTATCAGAATATTTTAAACACCTCCAAATAAGTGGCTAAAGTGTGTTAACATTCCTCATCTAGCTAATGTGGTAGCTTGCAGTGTCATGCATTCCCTCCTCCCCCAAAACCTGTACTATAATGTACCTCTTCCGATGGCCCCTTCACTCACAAATGGCTAGTGTAAAGACTGAAGGAGCTGGCTAGCAATGCCTGTGATAGGCTGGCTAGAGGGATCAGATGATGCCACTGCTCCTGCCAGTTTGTGAAGTCCCACTGAACCATAAAAGTAGCACTTCTTATTTTATTTTTAAAGTTATCCAAACTAACACAGTTAACATTAACGCTCCAACACTGCATTTATATGACTGATTTCATGGAACAAGAGTAGGAGGGGGAACCAAAATTAAAGAGCTGAGTTCTCACTGAGGAGAAATTGCATGAAATCAGAGCTAGACTTGAGAATTTTCTTCAGAAATCCCACAGATGCCTTGCACAGGAGATCAGGATTTCAAATTTAAACTTTCATCTCTTTCTGAAAAAGAACTTCAACATGTGAATGTATTTTTTTGGAGGTGCCAGCAATGGTGGGTAACAACAGAGAGCACTTCCAGCATCTTCTGTAATCTGGGTACGTTTTATTTGTAATGTACAGGACTATAGGTTTGTTGATTCCATTAGTGATCTGAATCGTATCGGCTTGACCAGAAGGAAGGAGTGTCTGACTTCTCTGCCTGCTGTGTGATTTGTAGGATGCCCTAAGATAATTTCACTGTATGCAAATACTACCTGAAGTTAAGTATCTCCTTTAATAATTGAAAAAGAGACCAGTCATACATCTGTCTGCTCTGCCAAGCATTGAATGACCTCTGGAAAAAGAGAATAATAATATTAATTATCTAATTCATTATTATTCACTTTAACATTGACTTCATGGAACCAGAAGTTGGGAAGGTCACTGTTAAAGAACATGAGATTTGAAACGTTCATGTTATTTTGTTATGAAAGATCCATGACATATATTACTTCTGCGATGAGAAAATTAACTGAGAAAGAATGAGAATTCGGGAAGGATATGGTAATTGTATGCATACATTCTAAAACAGAATATGATTCTATAAAAAAAGAAAAGGTCTGGTCACGTTTAAGAAGAACGAAAAGAGTCATGTTAGTTGGGCCACATGAGCTGCTGGTCTACGATGATGCTGTGAATCTACTGGGAGATAGCATAGATAGCATAAAGAGAAACAGAACTTTAATCGACTCTAATAAGGAGCTTGGTCTAGAAGTAAAAGCAGAGAAAACTAAGTATATGTTGCTCTCGTCACCAGAATGCAGGGCAAAATGATGACATAAATATAGACAACAGATCCTTTGAATATGTGGCACAGTTCAAATAGTTTTGAATGACAATAACAAAACAAAATTAGATTCAGGAAGAAGTTAAGGGGACATCAAATTTGGGTAATACTTGCTACCATTCAGTCCAGAACCTTTTGTTTTCTTGGTTGCTGTCTAAAAACACAAAAATTAGAATATTCAAAACTATAACTTTGTCTGGGGTTCTGTATAGGTGTCAAACTTTTTCTCTGACATTAAGGGAGTAACATAGACTGAGGGTGTTTGAGAACAGGGTGCTGAGGAGAATATTTGGACCAAAGAGAGATGAAGTGTGTAGTGGATCAATTTTGAGATTGGAAATTTAAGGCATTACCTAAATGTTCGAGACTTGAGAGAAGTGTTTTACAGCTATTACATTAATATGTCAACACCTGGGCAGGAACTAGGTTAAGAATGTTGATGATCAGCATTTATGCGTAATCGCATAAGTAAGAAGCTTCGCTAACTGGGCCACTGGAGTATCGTAATATTACCGCATAAGCAGCAGAGAGGACCACGGGCCCACCCACAACCACATGGAATAGCCAATTAGAATATAACTTTGGAAATTGAGGACAACAAGGGGAGTTAACGTCCCTCTTTTGTCCACAGCCAATTCAGCAAGTTAAAAGATATAAATTACTGAATTTAGGAGACTTGTGATCTGATCTAACACATAATATTCAGTTCTCAGCCGGAGGCGCTATTCAATATGGGTCTGACGAGTGCTGGAAGTGGCCTGCATTCTTTTATGTCAAGTAAGTCACGTTTACTCATGTAAGCCATGTTGTTAAATATTATTGTTGATAAAAGTGTGTGGAAAATATCGAAAGCAAACTCCAGTGTGCTCGGCGAGCCCTTAGGGGAGAGTAATAATTATGTAACAAGTGATTGCCTAGGAAGATAGTCCGGCAATATGTCTGTGTATGGTGTATGTGTTAGGAATACTAGTAGTGTATCATGAATAGTAGGGAAACAGGATCGCATTGCACGATTAATACTTGCCTATAGTCAGGAGTCAGAGAGAGAGAGAGAGAGACTCCAGTTTTACACCCCTGAAGGGGAGGTTCCTAGCGTAGCTTCAAGTAAATCCACTATGTAGTCCCGACTGAAAGTCGGCCTTGTTAATAATGTAAATACGGTAAATATCAATGTAAATAGACCAGAGTACATAGAGTAGGATGTACACAGGGAATTGTGATTCACCCCTCCATAATCACCTTTCCACGACCGATCACGAGGATCCTACCAAATGAAAGGCAACGGCAGCCGAATGCACCCACAGTTAAGGGGAGGTACTACTGGACAGGGATAGGCACCTGCCACGCGGGCAGCGTTGAGAAGCCTTGGTATCAATGGCCCCCTAAGAATCATAATAATGTAATACGTTGCTACCTGCAGACTATATGAAGGGTTGTCAAGAGGGAGCTATGACAATATGTCAGGGGGTAGTTCCCACCATAGAGATGACAGACAATAAGTAGAGGCGGGTCAGACCCGGCACGCCCGCTCTACACCAATAATAAGAGGTGACGAGGATGAAAGGGCCAGCAAACAGTGACGCTCGACTATCGCGCTACCGGCCCCTGGGTACTTACATCACCTCTCTTAGGACATATAATAGATGGTGGTAGCTTTAAGTAAGGAAGGAAGCCCAGAAACGGGAGAATCCTAGCTGAGAGTAAGCTAGGATTATTGTGTTAACTCCTTACAGTGTAAGCTGTGGTAGCAAGGAGGGGTACCTGCACGCCCCCCTGCACCACGGCGTTACAAAGTGACAGGAGGTTGGAGAAAACTGCATAATGAGGAGCTTCATAACTTGTACTCTTTTCCAACTATAATTAGAATGAGTAAGTCAAAGAGGATGAGATGGACAGGACATGTAGCACAAAAGGGGGAGGAGAGGGCTGCATATAGGGTTTTGGTGACAAAGCCAGAAGGAAAGAAACCACTAGGAAGACTAAGGTGTAGGTGAGTTGATAATATTAAAATAGATCTTAGAGAAATAGAATGGACTGGATCAATCTGGCTCAGGATAGGGATCATTGGAGGGCTTGCATGGACATGGTAACAAACCTCTGGGTTCCATAAAATGTTGGGAAGTTCTTGAGTAGCTGCACAACTGGCAGCTTCTCAAGAAGGTCTCAGCTCCATGAAGTTAGTAGTTTAGTTCAGTACCAAAAGAGCATACTGAACAAGTGAAGATAATATGCAATTGTTCAGACTTTGATAAAGTAGACATAGTAAGTTCAGGTTGGTTCAAAACAAGGGAATGAGAGAAGGAAGCACCGTCTTGCTATTCTTGTCTAATGTCATGGTGGATGAAACTGCTAATGAAATTAAAGGAGAGAGATAATGGATCAGACATGATAACATTTATGATTTGGGGAAGAAATGAGAAGGAAATTGTAGGGAAACTAAATCAGTGTACAGTTAAGTATTTTACAATAAATTGTTTTCATTCGTCAACTTTTTATCATCAATCCAAAACCCATCAAAGTCACACTCATACATGTGAGAATATTTTATTTTGTTCGCAACACTAGGTGTAACTAAATTTCTCTACAGAGATATTGGGTTTTCGGACTTTATCCATCATCCCGGGTTTTAAGATAACTAAGAAAAAACACGACGTTTTGGAAACTGGATCTGTTTCCATCCTCAGGTGAGGTAAAACACCTATTCTGTTCGGTCCCTTAGAAAGAGTTAGCCTCAATCACTGGACAAGATTTGCATCTCCTGAGGAAAGTTATATGATTGAGGGTTTTGGCTAACTGAATTTTCAGGCGTTCTAATTTTCTAAAGGAAGGGTATATACCGGGTCCGTACCAGTTGTACAAGTAGTTACTATAGGATTCTGATGATGGTGTATAACACACAGAGATGGATAAAGTCCGAAAACCCAATATCTCTGTGTGTTATACACCATCATCAGAATCCTATAGTAACTAAATTTCTCTAGTTTGTTGAAAAAATGCTTACCAAAGATGCTATATTGAGCACCACACCTCCAAGGTCATATATTTCACTTTGATTGGAAATACTGGACAAGATTTTCAACCCACGGCCTGGACTCCAGTGTCCTGTAACTTCTCTTGGTTCACCACTTTCTGAGCCAAGATGATCTAATGATTTTCCACGAATGAGTGGAATTACAGGGTAACAGTCAAGTAATGCAATGGTAACAGTAGATGTTACAAGACTGGTATAATTGTTTTGATGAATAATATTTATTGGACTGAAATAACCATATTTCCAGTTCCCATAATAGAGAAACAACCAGTGGATCCCACATTTATGGAAAATATGTGCCAAGGATCCCTAGAAAAGGAAATACAATAACTGAAGAATTTTGCCTCATATATGCCATATTATGTTACATAATGATTTTCAAATTTAGCTTACAAATATTATGCTGTCAATCAGAACTGCAGTTAAGCCAGGGTAGATCCCTGGTGTATTTTTTAATGCTGGGACATGGCCCTGGCAGTTGAAAGAAATACATGTAGAGAAATGAACAAATGTGACAAAGATAATGGTTATATTTGAGACTTTTATACTGAGTTCAGATGATTGAGAAACTACCTTGAAGTACACAAGAACTCAGGTTTTCATGTCAGTGAAGATTCATATTGTTGTCATCTTAGGTTATGACTCTGTGTAGTCCGGTAGTTGGGTACCCATAAAGTATCATAACCAAGAAGACCACGGTGTATACCTTAAAGTAGTTTACTTTAGGTTACAGTAGATATTGTGGATATTTTTACTAAAAATATTGTCTTGCAAATGGATTAAATGATACATAATAAACATTATCAAAAATGTTTCATTTCACTGACATAAATGTGATCATTTTTACAGTAGCATAACTTTGGATATAGAACTTGGAATAACTGTGTTTAGAAAACTTCTGCTAAAATATTAATTACAATTTTATGCAGAACTGCATATACTCAGTTTACCCATATTAGAAACTGTACAGCCAAATTACAAGATGTATCTAGAACAGCTCCAATTTGGCCTGAGTTAGCGGATACTGCTATTGCATTGGTTATCACAGTCCTATTATCATTCCAAGAAGGAGATGAAACACTCAGTCCCTTCTCTGAGAGCTGTTTGAGAACATTTGAAGTCCCTGAAAAATATTCATTTGTCAGAACTAGAATTAAATAGAAGTTTAGAACATGCATTCATATGTGAGTTACATATTTTACAAATACTGTATTTTTAACACTGTGTCACACCATCATCAAGAAACTTTAAAACTAGCTTAAACTGTGTCCTGTTCAGGGCAATAAAAATTCAATATGCAGTTTTAAGAAAACTTACCAAGACCCCAGCATATGAACAGTGTCACCTGTGTTGTATGTCTATATAGAAAGAAATCAGCTATGACAGATGCAACATACATGTCAGGCTGCTTCATCGTGACTATTCTCTGAACTCAGGCACACACTTCTTGAGATACATTTGAGTGGCATGTCAGGGACAGTGTCTTTATCGGCACTGTGTTTGCAAAGGTAATCATATGACATGGCTTTCCAGTTAAGTAAATAGAAATAGGCCCTAGAAGGTTATGAAGAGTGCTGATACTTCTAATGCTGTCAGAGAGAGTCTGAAGCCCATTGTTGCTTAAAATATTAGATGGTAACTTGAAATAACGATAGCACATACGTAATTTGCAGACCAAGGATTTTTATGATGGCTAGTCATTGCCTATGTCAAGGTATTACTATCCTGCATTTCTCTGAAGGGACCAAAGAAAAGAATAAAAACTTTAGTTAGGTTAGCCATTGCCATGACTAAGATTTGATATCTTTTTTCTCATAGACTGATGATCTGGCAGATATGTAGGCAGAAAGAGAGACAGGTGGGCTTATAAATTAGATGAATAGATTGGAAGATAAGTAGATAGGTAGATAAGCAGGTAGACAGGCAAAACATAAGTATGTAAGCAGACAGACAGATGGGTAGGTAGATGTGTAGATGGATGAGAAGATTAATAGATGGATAGGTAGACATATAGACAGATAGAAAAACAGATCAATGATTGGGGAGATGTCCAGATAGACAGACAGTACACATTCCATGGAACCTGATCACTAGAATGTGATATTAGTTAGGGTAGAGTAAACAAAGTAAATAACATATGAGTTCAGCACACATCAATGTACAATATGCACAGTAGGTATACATTTAGAAATACAAAGCACCTGAGAAGGATGTGAAGAAAACAAACAAACAAAATACAAATTTGTGCAGGGCAAATATTTATTATACAGAAAAAGTGATCTCAAAATTCAGTATCATAAAACTTAAAAGATTCTTTGTCACCTATTAGTTAGTTATTAGTTATTGGAGAGGGTGGGTTTCCCCATGCACCGCAACCAGTTTGATCTATTGTGCTTCCCTCTATGATATTCTACCAGTCTCTATACCCTACCGATATTGGTGCGTACCATCAGTCCCGACCAAGCCAGCGAGTTCGGCCTCCACTGGCTTGGCGGTATCTATAATGCTTCCCCCATCTATCAGAGGCGTTAGAGACTATTGTTGGGCGGGAAACGTCCTTGAATTTGGCTCAGTGAACTCCTTTGGAGATATGAGGTTCTTTTACGTGCCGTAAAGCTACGACATGGGACACATGGCTTAAAGTCCCTCCCGGAGGACTTGTTCCCTGAATTTTTCTGCCCTTAAAAATTCGACGACCTCCGCCGGGTTTGAACCCGCGTACTACGAGTCATGAGGTGGGAACGTTACCTCTGGACTACGGAGGCCGCTTTTCTTTGTCACCTAGCAAGTTTCAATGTGAACACCATTAGTTGCTCAACACATGTCAAAACAGTATTCAACCTTGCGACATGTGTATACATGCCTAACTTTGGCTATCATGTAACTGCCCGTCATGCAAAGTTGCAGAGTTCAAAGATCAGCAATTTTCTCCTGACAGACGATATTCTTCATATAAACCCAGAGAAAATGTTCAATGGTGTTAGGTCTGGTGATCTTGGAGGCCATGCTAAGAAAATACCTCTTCCAATCCACTTGTTCTGAAGGCATGTGTTTAAAAACTGATAGATTATTTTTACAAATTGTGGGGCACTTTATCTTGCTGGAACCATGCATTACAAGGACATTTTTGGACTGTGTAATGTTCTAACATATCCAGACATGAACAGCTCTTCATGATTGCTTTCTGAAAGAAAGAAGATCCAATGAAGTGATCTTTCATCATGTCACACCGCATGTTAACCTTCGGTGTCTCCCTTTGACATTGGTAATTTCTTGAGGGGACTGACTGCTCCAAATTTTGAAGTTATCACTCATTCACTCATGGAGCTGAGCCCTGCTTGAGAAGCCACCAATTGTGCAGTAACACAAGAACTACCCAGTATTTTATGGAACATGAAGGTTCAATACTGTGTTCATACGAGCCCTCCACTGGTTCCTATTCTGAGCCAGATCTATCCAGTCCATACCATCCCATCCTATCTCTCTAAGATCCATTCAAATATTGTCCACCCACGTACACCTTGGTCTTCCCTGTGGTCTCTTTCCTTCTGGCTTTCCTGCTAATATTGTACATGCATTCTTCTTCTTCTTATCCTTCTCCTCTCCCTCATACATGCTACATGCCCTGACCATCTCATACTCCTTGACTTGATCATTCTAATTATACTTGGCAAAGAGTAAAAGTTCTGAAGCTCCTCAGTACGTAGTTTTCTTCAACCTCCCATCACTTCATCTCTCTTCAATCCAAATATTCTCCTCAGTACCCTGATCTCAAACACCCTCAGTCTCTGTTCCTCCCTTAATGTTAGAGACCAAGTTTCACACCCATACAGAATGACAGGCAAAATTATAATTTTGTACGAGGGGGTACCCAAAAGAAACCGAACTTATTTTTTTTAAACTTATTTATTCAAATTTTAAGCACAAACCTTCAATCCCCTTCAAAGTACTCTCCACTTACACTAATACACTTGTCTAGTCTTTTATTCCATTTTTCAAAACATTGTCTAAATTCATCTTTTGAGATGCTTGACAGCAGCCTTCGTCGTTTTTTCCTTCACCTCAGCAACATCAGCAAAACGCTTTCCTTTCATGTCTCTTTTCATTCGAGGAAACAAAAAAAAGTCGCACCGGGCAAGGTCGGGTGAGTATGGAGGGTGAGGAACAGGGGTCATACCATTTTTGGTCAAGAATTGTCGTACAGACAGGGCTGTGTGAGCAGGGGCATTGTCATGATGGAAAAACCAGTCACCCGACTGCCACAAATCTGGCCGCTGAGCTCCAAGTCACTCCCGACAGCTCCACAATTTCTTCAATGGTCCGTCGTCGATCTTCCTTGATGATTTCACGAATTTTTTCAACATTTTCATGTGTTCGGGCTGTGGAAGGACGACCAGAACGAGGTTTGTCATCAATTGACATTTCACCATTTTTGAAACGGGAAAACCACTCAAACACTTGAGTTTTCCCCATAGCATCGTCCTTGTATGCCGTTTTTAACATTTCAAGAGTTTCTGTTCCACTTTTCCCGAGCAAAAAGCAGAATTTCACCGCCGCACGCTGTTCACGAAAATCAGCCATTGCAAAAACGACGATCACACAAAACAGTTGTCACTATAAACTCTGCCGAAACTAGTCCTTACCTTCTGAAGCAACGGTAGTCGGCTTATCAACTCAGGAATGTTAGCTCTATGCACTCATAGTGGCAAAACACGGTACTACAAAAGCTCTGCCCACAAAAAAATTAGTTTGGTTCTTTTGGGTACCCCATCGTATATTCTAATTTTCAAGTTTTTGGACAGCAGTTGAGAAGACAAAGGTTATAGACTGAATGGTAGCAACATGTGACAATATGAATTCAATATCCTCTTAATTTCCTCTTGAACCAGGATTTGATTTGTATAGTCATTCCCAAATATCTGAACAGTGCCACATTTTCAAAACTTCTGTTAGCTCTTTATTTCATGATTTTGCCCTTCATTTCGGTGCTGAAACAGCAACATATACTTACTTTCCTCTGTGTTTACTTCCAGACCAACCTCTTTACTGGTGTCAATTAAAGTTGGTGTGTTTTTTATGGTATCTATATTATCAACCTGTAGATTCACATCATCAGCATAGACCAATAGCTGATGTGTCTCATGTAATTTCAGTCCCACCTGGTTGTCCTGGATCTTCCTACTGGTATATTCTAAAGTAAAGTTGAATAGCAGTGGCGATAAAGTATCTCCTTGTTTTAGACCATTCTGTATAGGAAAATTACCAGACAAACCTTTACCCATACTGACTATACTATATGTTTCATTTAAACACAGTTCAATCAACCTAACTAGTTTCATGGGTACCCCCAATCTCAAGAATATTAGGCTTTATTGAAGTCTACGAATAGCTGATGTACTTTCTCATTGTATTCCCATTTTTCTTTTTCCAGTATCTGATGAATGCAAAAGATCTGCTCAGTAGTTGGTTTAATGTTAATTTACTTACTTTAAATTTCAATAAAACTCAATATTTAGAGTTTCGGTCCATGAATTGTAACACAACGACACAAATTAATTATGATCAGGAAAGTATCTCCAGTGTAACAGAAACTAAGTTCCTTGGTTTGATTATTGATGATGTATTATCTTGGAAACAGCATACTGACCTAGTGATCAGTAGATTATCCTCTGCGTGCTATGCATTGAGAAATGTAAAACATATTGTATCATTTGCAATGTTAAGGCCAATCTACTGTGCTTACATACACTCCATCATGAGTTATGGTATAATCTTCTGGGGTGGCTCCTCACATGCCAGGAAAGTGTTTATCTTGCAAAAGAAAATTATTAGAGTCATAACAAACATTAAACATAGAGATTCTTGCAGGGATATTTTTAAGAAATTGGAAATTATGACGTTATATTCTCAGTGTATATACTCACTACTTTTATATATAATTATTAATAAACACTTATTTAACTTTAATAACGAGATTCATGAATATACAACTAGATCCCAAGGTAATTTATATGTACCTAGCGTGAATACTTCAAAATTTAATAAAGGAGCCTATATAACAGGTATTAAAGTGTTCAATCATCTTCCACGATCAATAAAGATTTTGGTCAATGATGAGAAAAGCTTTACATTTACATTAAAGAGGTTTTTATGTCTCATTCTTTTTACTCTATAAACGAATACTTTCAATATAAAGAAGACAAAGGTTTGTAATCCAGATATTCTCTTGAATTGTTTGTTAGGTTGATTTTACACATGATGTATTACCCACTGACTAGTCGCTCGGCATTTAAGGGTATAAATTTTATGGTAGTATGGTATTGTAATAGACCATCTGTTTTAAATAACATATGACTGTATACAATTAAGATGGTCATGAATGGTTTACTCACAGCTCATTTCCTTTTATCCTGTAGAGGAATATGTTAATAAATAGTTTTCAAATTTTAAGGTTCTTGCTATGAAATGACTGATTGTATATACTGAATTTTTATTGTATATTCTAATTTTTAAATCCTGATGAAATGAACTATATTTGGACTGTTAAATTAAGTATTTGTAGTTATGTGATCGAAATAATTGCATCAAACTTCTATATTATGAATATGGTGTTTTGTATTGATTTATGGTGGTGACAACGATAATCATATATCTGCATAAATTTGATCATATTTTATGTACAAATTTTGTATTGTGACTGTATTGCATGTTGATGGGTTCATTGTTTTTATGTATTTTGACATGTTCTATATCCTATGAAAGGATCTCTGGAATTTAAAATAAAGTGAAAGTTGATCTGTTAGGAATAAACCCACACTAATGATCACCATTAATTTCATCTATGTATGGACTTAACCTTGAGACAAGAATATTGAATTAAATTTTGTATGAAGTTGATACCAGTGATAAAGATGTCCCTGTGCTAAACTGTTATGCTGCAGGGTTACGGCAAGAAATTGTATTTTTAAAGTTACTATGTTTTCTGTAGGGTTAACAGGTTTAGGGAATTGAACTAGGGAAGTTTTAAAAACCTGGGTAAGAAAGGTTCAATGAACGTAGGAATTTGCCGGATTGCGCCACACTGCTGACCAACGTGGAAAGAGCCATTCAGAGAGGAGAGTTAGCTAGTAAGTTGCTGAATCGAGGAAGGTGGGTAAACTGGGAGACGCAACCCCCTTCCAGCAACCAGACAATAGAAGATCGCCACCCTGAGAGGCAATTACATGAGGCAAGGAGGAGCGAACCCCTGGAAGCTGATGAGTTAGCAGGGAAAAGACTATAAAATGGCTATGAGAAACTATAGAAAAAATCTTTTGATCAATAATTTGAGTAGAGTGCTGCCAGAGGCTATCGCCAAAATAGCGTTGAAAGTGTGTTGGCTGGGAACAATCTTCTGCATCCTGAACTCAAGTAAGTGGACCTACCAATTATAGCCATGGAACTTATTAAAGTACGAACACCCAAGGCTAGAACCAAGAATGTGGGGCAGGAGTAGGATGTAGGAGAAATAACCTGTGAGTGCCAGGTACAGGAACCCGCAGTCGGGTGAGAAAGGTTAAGGATGTTGGATCCCAGTGTTTATTCATTTACTTACATGTGTAATTTATGGTTACCAACCAGAGTGAGAGTGTAATGTATATATATGTATATAACGACAGTGGGAAGAATAGAAAGGAGTTGGAAAGTGCTGTCACGTCAGTGTACCCTGTCCTACGGACGCCTCCCTATCCCCATGGTCCTCCACAAGGTCCAAATACCCCAAGGCGCATGGCGAACTCCAAGCTGACAAGGCAGTGAATAAGGAGAATCCCCCAGCTTCCTAGCCTCCCTTGCCGAAGGGAGTACATAAACTACGAGTACATTATTAGACGCAAGCCTTAAAAATTACATATTTCAAACATTTTTGGATATTTAGGGTACTCATTATAATGAGCATTTCTAAGAATTTCACCAATTTGAATTATATCAGGGTTGCATGGTAATTCTGCAGGAAACATAAAACAGTGAATCATGTTTAATACTGTGGCATATCTGTTCAAAGCAAGAACTGTGGAGTCAGAGAAACAGCTGTTGCTAGGTAATGCCTAAATGGAACAATAGAGGAATTGACATATGTGACGCGTATAGCCATTGCTATGGAGCGAAAGGGTAAGCACATACGTGGTGACATTATGCAACAACAGAAGAGGTGTTGCAAGTGCCATTCTCTGTGGGTCCACTCCAAGGCTATATGACTTGAATGAGTTCAGTTCAGAGAAAGAGACACACAGTGTGGTGCAGATGAGGGTGTGGTTATGGAGTGTTAACCAGCGCGAAACAGAAGCTGAAGAATATCCACTGTTTAGATTTGTTAGCCAAAACAAGTGGATAGCAATCCCATCCACTAGAACAGCGGTGTTGCCAAAGAATTCAATATATATTATCTGTAGCAATTTTGTTCTTACTCTGTGAGATCAACATGCTGTCTGTGCTTGTCATCCACAGCCAATTTTTGAACCGACTAACTTCAGCTAAATTTGGTATGAAGTCATGCCAGACTTCACCCAAACCTTGTACACTTTAATTTTTTACAATCAGTAAAAATAGCATGGTGGACACGTGAACTTGTGAGCTGGGAGCAATACCAGTGATAACATGGGGCCTTGACATACAGTAATAGGTCACTAAAATATTCAATGTTTATTAAGGTAATTATTTTGTAGAATGCAAAATAACATAGTAGCCATGCAAAAATATTCTTCAGCGTTTGGTTTAGTGGTGACAACTAAGGACCCACAGAAGCTAGGCATGCGAAATTTGGCATGCAGGTTGATCATAGCACATCTACATATTCTGCATTCACTACTGTTTGTAAATCAAGAATTAACATGGAAATGATGTGAAGCTTTGAGGTTAACTGACAAATTTAACGCAGACAAAATCTGTAAATTAGCAATAAGTGAGAAGATCCCGATACACAGGCGCTCCACACTATAGTGGCTTCTACCACCAGAAAATCATATCAACACGTAGCAGTCAAAAAGTTTAAAGAGGTTTATCGCAAAATACTTCATTTACATTTTAGTACAATTTTAATTTTTACGTTTTAATCTTTAGTCTCTAATTTTTTAAATTTTACTTTCTGAGTATGTAAAATTTTAACTGAAAGACTCAATTTATGCATTTAAAAACACTCAAGTGCACAATAAGGATCCCTACTGAAGAATTAGATGCAATTCAACAACTGAGTTGAGTTGAGTAACCAACACAATTTTAAATGTTATACTATACAGAATTGTAAGATACTTGAAGACACCTCTTCCTCTGATCAGCAAAAATTAACTCCACATTAGTCACTTTCACTGACAATCCCTTCCATGAATAAAATTCAATGAGACTGCATATGGCTAATTCACACCAAACCAGACAATATGGAAATATCTGCCTCTCTGCATTCTGGCAATCTGCTTAAGATCAAGGCTTAAAGCAATGTTCAACACAGCATTACACTCAGAAATTAAGAATTCTTTGTTGTTACAGCAATTACATATGACTGACAAGTTTGTGGGTGGTTCAAGGTCATATGCCCAACACACTGTGCATAGGTATTCATTAGTGTTGCATGTGTTGCCTTGTATAAATACTTGGCACTTCTATGTGAGAAATGAAGATCACAATAGGGTTGTGACTTTTTTCATTTTGTATATCACTAGTGCATGAAAAAACTGCAAAGAAACTTCAAATACCAGTGTGGGTATCCATTATACAAAGCAAATGACATATAACCTAACACAATTCATAAGACAGTAATAAAGTACCTTAATAAGCATCTTACCTGTGCCAGTTTGTGCAATCCCAATAAGGTCATGACCTTTTAATAAAACTGGCCAAGCCTGACATTGTATGGGTGATGGAACATCAAAGTTCTGCTTATAAATTTCCTCTAAAATTTCTGCGTAATGTGCAAAGCATTGCTCAAATGTCTGCACAGGATTAGGTATTCCACTTTCAACTTCATCAAACACATAGCTCACAACAATATTATTATTTGCCTTCCTGTACCAACAAACAAAGAACATCATAAAAATAACTGAAAATGTTCTAATACACCAGTAACCTACTAATTATATGTTCCATCAGCATGGACTTTAGATGAAGTAGTTCTATTCCAGTCCTATATAGAGAACGGGGAGGGGGAACATGCAGCAATTTAAAAATTGCATCTTCAGTCTATATATACACAAGTGCAGTGATGAAAACATTTTATAACAGCTGTTTTCAAATCCTTTGTTTGATGCCTGCTGTAACAGTTTAAAATCTGTCTGGACTCCCATGACAAGAAAGAGAGGAAAAAAGAAACATAACATAAATGAATGATGATTACCCTTATATCTGTCACATGTACAATATTTGGAGTTAATTCAAAACACAAACAACAGCAACCAATGGGAATGCTGGAAATGGGGACTTAGATACCAAGTTGCTCTGGTATCCTTAGGGGTCCCACTACCATAATTTGAGAAATGCTGCTCTGTAACATCACTGCAGATGGTATAAATTTATAAAATGTTCTATCTACAGTAGTCCTGAAACATTGTTAACTCTTTGGATATGTGAAACATATCAGTATCTGTTTAATTCTACTAGTGCCTTGCAGTCTATTTATAGGTCACCATTGGCCTGCACTCTGTGCCACAGGCCTACTAGTAGGCCAGTTTTTATGTGCTTGTATTTCCTGTCCTATCCAACAGAATGGAACAGAAATCGCTACAATGTGAAGCGTGGATCTTGTCCTCACCAACTTATATCAATATATCTTGCCCTTGTTCCATACTAAATTTTTATTTGAATTTTATTTAAAGTAATCTTGGATGTACTGCACACTCTGCTTCATATTATGTAGTGCAGTCTTGCTAAATAACTCCATGGAGCTCAGCCCTTCTTGAAAAACAGCCAGTCACTCAGACACTCAAGAATATCCCAATATTGTATGGAACCCTGAAGTTTCATAATAACTGTATAAGCCAAACCATTTATTTTTTGTCTCAGCTTTATTTATTTCAGTTTTCTTCTGTAAATGGAAAATGCCAAACAGTAGTGTGATACAGAACTATTTATCAAAAGGTTATCACATTTTCACAGACACTTTCTTTAGAACTATACCTCCTGCCAGGGTTATGAAAGGGACCTTTTGTAAAAACAGAAAATTCCTGCCAGTTTTAGTTTCTGTAACAAAGAGCAACTCTCCACACTGTAAATCAATTTACCGGAATCTCTGGACTTCTTCTGGTAACATATTCGCAACTTCCGGATCCTCAATATAAAAGTCTTTACGTAATGGAGGACACTTACTCCACCGTTCTTTCTGGGCTTCCTCCTGTAACATTATGAGAATCAATTATACCACTGATAAAAAGCAGTGTAATAACTACATATCCTTCATTTCAAAACTCTGAAAACTAAAATTAACATACAAATCCAGCACTACACAACAGTTCTAAAGAGATAATTACTTCCATATATATATATATACACACACAATTCGAACAATCTTAAAAAACAGACAGTTTTGTCAAGTGCATTACACAGTAATTAGCTTTCATCCTCTTTATTTACTTTACCACATATTTGTCATTAAGTACACAGGGTGTATTTTGAGGACTGCAAAAATTCATGGGTAATTTTGAGAAAAACATCTGATTATTATGGGTCCAAAAAAAATAAGGAATCATGGCAGCATGAAAACAAAATAAAAAGGTGCAAAAAATAATGGTTTCATTTAAATATTTGTATATCTTATAAGCTTTCAGCATTATATTCAACAAACTTTTAACTAATTATTTACATCAACTCAAACCACAACATTTTCCTTTCCTCATCTAATGACATTATTTTCTACTTATGAAGATTCTGCTAGCCTTAGCCCAGTCTATCTGTGGCTTCTGTGGTTCAGGCTCAACAACTGCAGTCTCAGTTCCTCCAGTACCACTGCAACCGCTTCCATCACTTTTTGTGCTGAAGTTATTCAAAAAATCTTCAATCAAATGTTTTGCCTTAGCTACTGAATCTACAGATCCAAAGAGAATAACTGAAGTCGTCTGGCCAAAATCTTCATCACATGGTTTACCAACCTGAAACATCATTCTACTGTATATGGAAAATGCAACTTACTATGCAATAAGCAATTTTTACTTTGTAACTAAGAAAATTTCAACAATTTACTGGACAAGAAAACTGCAAGTTTAATATTACTAGAAATATATATAACTGATACAAATGCAATGTGTGTCTACCACTGAGTTATATCATGCATAGCACCATATTTCATGGGGGGAATTACAATACCTTATCGTGCAGGAACTTATTTATAGAATTAGGAATCTTACCTCTGGTATCTCAGCACATCCTATCTCTTATGCTCTTTGTGATAAAAACAGAAACAAACTCATAGTAAATTCAGAGATTCATAGAATAAGTACCAGACAGCAAAAAATCTCCATCACCCTCTTGTAAATTTGAGTAAATACCAAAAGGGAGTTTACTGTTTAGGAACAAAGGTCTATAATAATCTACCACAACAAGACTACAATAATGAAACATAAATATATTCTACTTGACATTGAGCATAAAACAGAAAAAGATCATGAATTAATATTGAAGTTAAAATATTCTTCCAATGAGTAAAATTAATTTAAGAGTAGAAATCTTTTTAAAGCAAATTGTTTCTCATTATGAGCTAAGTTCTTTATGCTAGAAGGAAGATTATTAAAAACTTTGATTCCAAAATACTATGTTACTTTTTGAAATACTGTTAAATTACATATTGGATAAGGGAACTGTTATTGTGTCTTGTATTAATGCTATGAATCTCACAGTTAGATTTAAATTGTTCTCTGTTTTTAACCATAAATAGTAGGAGAGAAAATATGTAATGTGATTGGAAGGACAAAATTTTCAGTTTCTTAAACAATTACCTGCAAGAGTCTCTACTTCTGGAGTTAGTAATAATTCTAATTACCCTTTTCTGTAGCCTAAAAATATGAATACTATGGGGAGAATTGCCCCAGAAAATTATACCATACATCATAACAATGAAAATATGAGAAATAAATCATTCTTATGGTTTCCTGTGACATATAAGGTTAATGGCCCTGATTGCATAACAGCCGAAACCTAATTTAGACATAAGACAGGCGATATGTCCTTTCCATGTCAACATATTGTTGATAACTAATCCAAGAAATTTGGTATTAGAAGATTCAGCAATCTGACTGTTACCATTGTCAATATGCATATCCAATGGATACCTACTCTTGGTCCAAAATTGTATAAAATATGTCCTATAAAAATTTAGTGTCCATAAATTAGCTTTAAACCAATCATTTATGTTTTTAAATGTTTGAATAACATTGTTTTCATAATAAAAAGGGCTAGAATTCGTGATAATTATAGTGTCATCTGCAAAAGAATAGGTTTGGAATGACTAATTACAATGTTTGGCAAGTCATTTATATACTCGTACAGAGTGTCCCAGGTGTTTGGGGCCATACTTCAGGAGTGTACTCAGGGTTCCCTATAGAACAACTTTGAAATAGGAATCCATGTCTGCAAACGTAAAATAGCAGCGTTAGGGCGGCATTTAATATCATTTTGTTTATACTTGGCGCCTCAATGTCGAAGAGCATGCACAGACATATTACCCCCTCCAAGCTCTTAAGATTCACCTGCTAGAGTATATGTTGGAATGGGTGTTGTCCATTTTCAATGCATGCAGGGCCATACTTCAGGAGTGTACTCAGGGTTCCCTATAGAACAACTTTGAAATAGGAATCCATGTCTGCAAACGTAAAATAGCAGCGTTAGGGCGGCATTTAATATCATTTTGTTTATACTTGGCGCCTCAATGTCGAAGAGCATGCACAGACATATTACCCCCTCCAAGCTCTTAAGATTCACCTGCTAGAGTATATGTTGGAATGGGTGTTGTCCATTTTCAATGCATGCATTACATCTACAAAAGAAACTTTGGCGCACCCTTTCAAATATTCCAGGTGTCTCACGGATCAGGTCACATGCAACAAGTATTCTGGCCGACAGCTCAAATTCATTATCCACAGGCGTGTCATAGATCAGGCGTTTCACATGGCCCCAGACGAAATAGTCCAGAAATGTCAAGTCTGGGGATCGGGGTGGCCAAGGCACTGGGCCTCCTCTTCCTATTCAATGACCATGAAAAGCAGCATCCAGGTAGTCTCATGATACAATGCTGAAGTGTGCCAGTGCTCCATCATGCTGTATCCACATTTGCCTCCACACAATCAGCAAAGTTGGAAGGATACATTCCAGGAACACCTTGTCAATGGGGCCACTGAGTTGCGATGGTAGGATGAAAGGCCCAATCAGGTGACCGCCAACGATGTCCGCCCAGACATTGACAGAAAATTGTGCTTGGTGGTAACCGACTACAGTAACATTGGGATTTTCGTCAGCCCAAACATGGCTGTTTCGACAGTTGAACCAGCCATCCCTTGTAAACTGCGCTTCGTCTGTGAATAATGCGTGATTCAGGAAGTTGGGCTGATGGAAACACTGGTTCAGTATCCACTGACAAAATTGAACTCGTGGTATGAAGTCAGCTGGACCTATGTCGTGTACTCACGTTGGATGATACTGATAAAGTTGTTGGTCATGCAGGATCATCCAAACACTTGATTTTGATGTCCCCACAATCTAGGCTATGGCACGAGTGCTGGTGGATGGCTGTTCCTCTATGCAATGCAGTTCAACGTTGAGGCGCCAAGTTTAAACGAAATGATTTTAAATGCCACCCGAGTGCTGCTATTTTACATTTGCAGACATGGGTTCCTATTTCAAAGTTATTCTATAGGGAACCCTTAGTATGCTCCTGAAGTATGGCACCAAACTGCTGGGACACCCTGTATAAAAGAAATAATAAAGGTCCCAGTATCTATCCCTGGAGAACACCATTATTAACTTTGTCCCATGTGGAATGAATATGCCAATTACTGATTACATCCCTTTGGTACCTCTCTTTGAGATAGGATTTTATCAATGCATTGGCCTTACAAACTATTTTATAAAATTCTAGTTTATATAGTAAAATGTCACGATTGCCACATTCAAAAGCTTTAATGATCACATACCTGAATGTGTGCACCACTTTCATTTTGCAGCTCTCGAATTTTGGTTCCACCTTTTCCAATTATCTTCCCAACATCGCACGCCTTTATTAAAACTTCAGTTCTATCACATCCCATTCCACAGTCATTACGTCCACCAGAGTTATATTCTCGATCATTACGACCACCAGAGGAATATTCTTGACAATTCCTACCATCTCGATTTTGCCCTCTGTTGTGCTCAAACCTTCCACCTTGAATGCCTTGCCCACTTTCCCTTACTTCAGATTTATAATTATTTGTATGGCTATTCCTTCCACCATGCCAGTTTCTATAATCACGTCCTGTAGCCCCACTTCTCCCGTTACCTCCACGAGCAAAAGTTTTGGAATATATTGGAGTGTATTCTGTCCGGCTTTCACCATCAGAGTTCCATCCATCGTTCATGCTGCCTGAAATGTAAGCACACATGAAACTGCATGCAAATCTTACAAAATTACAAATGTCTCAGATATAACGCAAACACTTCTTCAAAATCTCTACATACAGCTTTCTTTTTATTAAATTTGCCTCATGAGAACAAACACTGTAACTGCCACTTGAATGTTAAGATATCTGTCGCTGTTACATACTGCTATTCATCAGTTTTATGGTCCTGTTGTCTGCTGATTTTTAGATATAACATACAATATAATAAAAACTGCCCTCTAATGTTCTTAGTGTGGATAAATCAAGCGAAAGGAATGATCTCAAACCAATCAAACATTCAACTGATTCAACGACCTACCTACTTCAACCGACTACCTAACCAACCGAACAATACCTAACGACGCCTGACCGCTTCTCACATATCAACCATACCAATGATCGCCAATGATCGAAAGACAACAACAATGGTGACGATGACAGGGTGTCAGTAACACAAGGGCTGAAACCCTTGACGACGAAATTAAAAATAAAAAGTGGCCGGCATTATATACCAAAGTCGACAAAAAGAAAGTATCAAACTACGCACAGTTATTTGGGTGTGAATCGCAGAGGTCACAGATTTCGTTTGAAAGATGGTAGGCCTTGAATGAGCAGTCGAGACCTGAGATTATTCTTGTTAAAATAACCAAATAACTTTTTAATTATCCAACCATGTTGTGTTTGAACTTGAATTTGTTTACGTTCCGTAAAACCAAGTACAGGTTGACCCCATAGGATATGGAGATATGGAGCACGTCAATTACAAATACATGTCTGTATCGAACTGTACAATATCGAGTTTTCTCGACTACACATCTTACACCACTAATTGGAATTATATACGTATACTTGGTTCCAGTAATTCCCAAATCTCAAATTTAGATTTTGCTACTCTTCAATTTGATCCATCCCAATTTCACT